TTCCCCCCCAAACCAACCCATTATCATTTATTTCTTTCAATATTTATTCATTTTTATAAGTATATTTTTTGCTTTAACTCTAATTACATAATGTATACATACATGTTGATTTATATACTTATTTTCCTTGTTTAGTTTAAGTTGTGTCACTTCCTTTGTCCCATAAGTGGCGCTTGAGAACACCCGCTGATTATATATTATGTCCCAGTATGTGAAGTGTGTAACACATTGTGAGTAGGTGGCGCCATGACTATGACTGAATATTGACTTGTAGATGTTGTCAGGCTGGGAGTCTTATTAAACACATTTGAGCATGCACCCTAAAGTTACAACAACTTCCTGTTTTGTGGCGAATAATGCATCGCCACAGCAAAATCATTTGATGGAAAGTCACGGGGTGCATAATATAGCAACATTAATGTGTTAAGGATTTTCTGAGACAGTTTTGAAGTCGATATGAACAAACCTGCTTGGTGTAGTCCATCACAGCATAAAAGTAGTCACTTCCCAACAACTTTTAAGCCATTGTCTTTAGATTGCACTACAGATCTGATTAATTCTCTAGGAGGAGTTTGTTAAAGTACAGCGAATGGCTGACTTCCTGTTGGGTTTATGGTATGGGTCCGTGAGGCTTTTGTTGTGTGTCTTGGGATGATGCAAAATTAGGGGGTGCCATGGAGACGTTTTGCCATGCCTATATGTGAGACCAATGTGACGCGTAAATGTTTGTTAGGTGTGAGATGTGTGCAAAATTTCATGAGGTGTTTTTTATGAGGTTTTTGTCTGCCAAAAATGCAATGTATTTGGCAGAAGGACAAATAAAAAATTGAAAGAATGATTCTATGCCTTTCGGTAGGGTCCTTCCACGGTGCTCAAAAGAAGTCTGAGAACTAGTGAACAGTACTGAACTAAAGTTGGGAGCATGTGTTTCTCCATATATATTTTGCACTGAGGCAGCATTTTAACCCAGGTGATGGAAACAAATTTGCATTTTATGTACACAGCAGTCCATTGAGTTAAAATTTGTTGGACCGCTGGATGGAAACGTAGCTGCAGAGGCAGCCGGGGCTCCAGCTGAGATTGAAGCCGTGTGGTAATGCAGCGGATTAGAGAAGGCATTCTGTCAACAGTAAATCCCCCCAACCCTCACCACCCATTCTCTGTTTTAATCCTGCTGCTGGGTCGAGGACACTTACCTCCCAAGAGCTTCACATGCCTGTGTGTATGTGTGCATATCTGATTACTTTTAAAAAGAAGGGGCAGTGGTGAGTGTTTGTGCAGCAGGGTTTTAGGTTGTGAGACTCAGGATTGAGGGTGCTGGAGGTTTTCTGAGGAGAGAGTTGTGAATGTGAGTGTGCTTTAATTTGTTTGTACAAAGCATGTATTTTTGGTTGGTTGACTTTGTACGTGTGACTGTGTGTGTGTCTGTATGGAACCACCATGCTCGGCACTGGCCTCTGCCCTGGGCTATTTATAAAACTGTCCAGATGTGTGGGTGTGAATGTGTGTGTGAGAGAGAGAGCCTGGTTTATTTCACATCATTGTGGGTTTGCTGGTGAACAGAAATCATTTAAAAGTCAGTTTTATTTATTTATATATAATATAGCAAATTTAAAAACAACAGGAGTTGACCCAAAGTTCTTTCCAAGAACACAATACACACAAATACATGAACAAATATATGAACAAAAAAACAAAGAGTATTTACCGCTGCGGATCCAACTACAAAATAAAACACCAGTGCACAAATACACATTAATAAAATGAATATGGAGATGCCCCAAAGTAAAAACTAGGAATTTTTGGGAAAAGTAAGGAAACTACGGACTTCTAACGGTAGAATCCACCTATAAAAGCACTGACAGCAGGGGCTTTCACAACTTTGTCTTTTCCTTCTGAAAATGAGCTTATTTATAGGCAACCTCTATGGAGAAATTGTGAGTCACTTGGTATTCCTGCTCCTAAATAGCTTATCAGTCATGTTTCTCATGAAGAGAAGGCTATTTCCTGCAGCGTTTGTTTTGATACCAGTTCCTGTGAAGAAGAGTTTCCATAGTGTTGTTTGTTCTCCATGGAAAGAGGAATGTCAGTCTGGAACTGTTGACTGAACAGAAATGTTTTGACAGAAGTTGGTCAGCCTGCCTTTATCCTCGGCATGAAGAAAATGTGCATTTTTAGAAGCCTGGTCGACCTCTGAAATGTTGCTAAACATGAACCGAGGCAAACATGACTCTCTTTCCTTTTGTAACTCAAAGTGACCACATTATCTTTTGAAAAGAAAAACATCCAAAATAAATCTTGGATCTAACAAATAAAGTCGAAAGACACTAATGTAATGGTGTGATCACATTATTGTGGAAAAACAAGGCTTTTCTGCTGCTTGTTCCATGTTGCTCTCTGCAGGATTCTTGTCTCAATATTATGATAATTTATAATATAAAGCAAACCTTTGACTGCCCGTTTGCCATCTGCCATACTGGACCTTTGGAGCTGGCAGGCCAGTGTTGTTGTAATGGAGCAAAGTTGCTGAATAAAGCCGGAGCTAAAACTACATTAGTGTGTCCCCCTTTTATTAATAACACAAATATTAGACCTAATTGCGGCCAATTGCGTGGCCTCTGATAGTGCTGCTTGCAGTTTTCTTACTATTATTGACCTGCAGAGCCGGAGAACCCCCGCACTTCTAGATGCAGTAGCTCCAGACCACAGTTTTAGACATATGAATGCACGAGTTCCAGACCTACCATTTTAGACGTACTTTTTATTTTTAAAACTTCAGTAACGACACAGTAATATTACAATGGGGTGGCTATGGAGCAGTGGATAAGTCACGTGCCGAGGATGTGGGAGACCAAGACTAAATTCCCACCAATGTGTACCTGAGCGAGATACTTAACCCCCAATTGCTCCAGAGGCGTGCGACCTCTCACATATATAGCAGTTGTTGTCAGCTAAATGAATATAATGTAATATATTACAATACGCCACCGTTTCAGATAGTTTATTGAGGTGTTCCCAAACATAAGTCATTTCTGCTTCTTTGTTAAATGACATTTAATTGATTGGTGTTAGCCAAAGACGCATGAAAAGCAAACTTTACATTCACTTTATACATAAGAAAAGTCAAAATATGCAATGAAAGAAAACTGTATTATAGATCAATGTTATTAGCATTAGCAAGAGATGCAAATTGAAAAGCCCTGCCAGAGAAATCGAACTTTTAGCCGTGTTTCATCCAGACCTCACAGTGAATGAATGAAATCTTTACCTCTGTATCATTACTACTGACACAAATCATGAACTCATGCTAAAGCTAGCTAGCTACCACACCTTATCACTGGTTCCCAGGGGGTTTGAAAGAATAGGCTGACATTATTTAATGAAGGTAGCTAGCTAACCTTAGCTTAATAACATTACGTTAACTACAGCGTAGGGTTATCAAAACATTAACATTAAAACTTAACTTAGTAAATGTATTCTCTCTTGATTTTGGACTGTTGGTTGGACAAAGCAAAGTACTTTAATTCGGACATTTTGAATCTTCCATAATATATCCTGTATCTTTTTTTCTTTCTCCTCTTCAATCATTTATTTAGGTCTGTCTTCCCCACATACTCTCTCTCTCATTTGGAAACCTGGGGGTCTAAGTGTGTGTGAGTGTACATCCGTTCAGTCTTATAATGGTAAGAAGGATGGAAAGAAGGAGAAGGAGGGGAGTGGCAGCTGATCATTAGTTCTGACGTGATTGGTGCAGAAGAGACGCACAGTTTGCCGTAATCACCTCTCACCATGGCAATCAAAGTGTGTGCGTAAGAGAGAGAGAGAGGGATAGGGATAGGAGATGGTGTGCGTGTGTGTGTGTGTGTGTGTGTGTGTGTGCGCGCGCTCAACAGGATATGTTTTTTTTTTCCATCCATTCAGGAAGTGGAATTGAACCTGCTAACCTCTGAAGTAGCCGCATATATATATATATATATTTTAAAGTCAGGGAAGGCAGTAGGATATTAAAGAACACTATAGGCTTCAAAAATAAATTGCATTAAATATTCAATAAGAATAGAGCAAACAACCTCGACCTTCCTCTGTATAGCCTCACAAGAGTTAACCAGAAAAGAGGATAAAACAATTAAACAAAAATTACCAACAAAAAGTCTATGGACACCACAGCGGGTGCAACAAGCTTCACACACACACCCACACCCCTATGATGCAAGGCAATGCAGTGGCTGCTGACTTAGAGCTGAATGAGCTGCACTCACATCATGGATTATTGTCCGTGAGCACGCAACGTTGTGGGTGTGTTTGATTTGGGTCAGTTAGCGTGCTCCTTGGTGCTGGATTAAATCAACTTTTTTTGGTATGCCAAGAGGCAATAATGCTAACTTAAACCCATAATGACATCACGCTTAATTTTATATATATATATATATGAGAGAGAGAGAGAGAGATTTATTGAATACTGCATTTAAACTCAAACAGGCTGATCAAAAGTTTAATATCTATAGGCATAAAAAGGTAAAATCTGCACAAAAAAATGGCTTTCGTGTCATTGATCTTCAGGCAGTCACACTGTCATGATCTCCTGATGTCAAAGGCAAAAAGGCTTTCTCTCGTTGAACGTGGCAGGATTGTTGAACTGCACAAGCAAGGCCTCTCGCAACGCGCCATCGCTGCCAAGTTTGGAGGCAGTAAGACAGTCATTTTTCATTTCTTAAAAGATCCTGAGAGTTATGGGACAAAAAAGTCAAGAGGGAGATCCAAAGAAATTTCATACACACACACACACACACACACTCTATATAACTATATATATGTGTTTTAATAAACATAAATTAAACATTTTCCATGCATTACTTTTGCAACTCCTCACATTGATCTCCTGCTGCACGTAATATATTTCCACAAAATACTGACCATCATCCCTCTTCTTGTCCCCCCCCCCCCCCCCCTTGTCTTCCCCTTTCCCCTCACCTTTTTTACTTCCTCTCTCTGTTCTATAGGTCTCCAACCTCCCTTCAACCCTTCCCGTGGATCATAGGAGCGCCCTGTCATCACCCCCTTCTCCCCGGAGAGACCAGCGGAAGTATTCCTGGATCGCGTTTCATCCTTAAATTCCTCTTCTTTCTGCCCACCTCCCGCTTCCATTACTTTTCCTTGTCATAATGATTTATGAAGAACTATAGTGCCCTCAAGCAAGGCGTTGCTCTGCTGTTGACTCTATTGTGTTTGTCAAAATGGACACGTGCCCTCAGGTGTTAAAAGGGACACATGGTCAACATTCATAGTAGCAATGTGATATACATGACTGATCTAAGAGGGACAAAAGGGCAGAATGGTTCAGACTGCCTCCTCACACCTTGAATGACGATCTCTGAAGTGCCTTGCCCAAGGGAACACCAGCAGGGCTAAAAAAATGTACAGCAGGGAAACCAAAACAGTGTTTTTTAAATAGAGTTGCTTTAGCATCCATCCTTTCCTCCATTTTATTTTTTACTTTATCTTTCCCGCCATTCATCACTTCTTTAGTTTGGTCTAGAGGTGGAGCTTTTTAGCTTAAAGGGCCTACGTATCTCCTTCCCTTCTTTTTTCCTCTCCCTAATTTCTTTCCTTTTCAGCTCACCCACCTGGCCTCCACCATTCGCCCCTCCCTCGCAACGGCTGTCCTCCCCCCTCGCCCCCGCCCCCAGTCATCCTCCCCTTCCCACTCCACCTCCTCAGCCCCCTCCCACCCACACCACCACCATCATCAACACCACCACCACCCTCAGTCCCACTCCCACCAGCACCACCATCACCTCCCCCAGATCTCCTCCTCCTCTCCCCCTCGCTTCTCGCCCCCTCCTTTCTCCACCTCCTCCTCTGTTTTAACCATGGCGATGGCTGCAACTGCCTCTTCCTCATCCCCGACGTCCTCAACATCAGCCAACGGCAGCGCCCGAGAGCACCTGTTGGCGGTGCGCCGGCGCACCCCGCACTCCCGGCCTTACACGATTGGGCCCGACAACCTCCGCAGCCTGTCGGTGCAGGGCCCAGATGGAGCCTCCACCTCTGCGTCCTCCTCCTCCACTATGTCGTCTGGGAACCAACCAGAAATGGCAGGGGTGGGCCTCCAGCGGGCCAATAGCGACACAGACCTGGTGACGTCAGACAGCCGCTCATCACTCACGGCTTCTACGCACGAGCTGACTCTGGGCCACAGCCACCTGGTCATCTCCTGGGACATCAAGGAGGAAGTGGATGCCACAGACTGGATCGGCCTGTACCACATCGGTGAGCAAAGTCAAACTCCAACAAGGGGTGGAAGTAATGAATTACATTTACTCTCATTACTGTAACAAAGTCATTTTTGTATTTTTGTATTTTACTACATTTAAGTAGTCACGCAACAATGTAATAAAATTAAGCGTGACGTCATTATGGGTTTAAGTTAGCATCATTGCCTCTTGGCATACCAAAAAAAGTTGATTTAATCCAGCACCCAAGGAGCACGCTAACTGACCCAAATCAAACACACCCACAACGTTGCGTGCTCATGGACAATAATCCATGATGTGAGTGCAGCTCGTTCAGCTCTAAGTCAGCAGCCACTGCATTGCCTTGCATCATAGGTAGGTGTGTGTGTGTGTGTGTGTGTGTGTGTGTGTGTGTGTGTGTGTGTGTGTGTGTGTGTGTGTGTGTGTGTGGTGTGTGTGTGTGTGTGTGTGTGTGTGTGTGTGTGTGTGTGTGTGTGTGTGTGTGTGTGTGTGTGTGTGTGTGTGAAGCTTGTTGCACCCGCTGTGGTGTCCATAGACTTTTTGTTGGTAATTTTTGTTTAATTGTTTTATCCTCTTTTCTGGTTAATTCTTGTGAGGCTATACAGAGGAAGGTCGAGGTTGTTTGCTCTATTCTTATTGAATATTTAATGCAATTTATTTTTGAAGCCTATAGGTGTTCTTTAATATCCTACTGCCTTCCCTGACTTTAATATAATTTGATAGACATTCTTCATTTCTGTTCACTTATTACATCCCAGCTGTCTAAGAAAACTGTTTAATCCATCCCTCATGCTTTCACACTTGTGTTTTTGGTTTTGTCACGGCTAGAACTTCTTTTTTAGACACTATCCTCCAAACTCTTACTGCATACCTAGTTACAGTTGCTAAACTATGATTGGACAGTTGCTGTTCGGGGAACCACTGCAATCTTGCCATTAATTTGTCTGGTAGAAGCTAGAATTGTTGTCTGTAATCTTACAAAGTCAACACTGAACTTGAAGTTTGTTATCTAGGTGTGATGGGCCCAATGTTTTACTGTGTCACAGTACCTCAAACACAAATCTGCCTTTTCAGACATTTCATTTTACTAAAAAACAAATGCATAGCAAGTTTGTAGGTGTTTGTTGTTTCAGATATTTACTGTGCACAGCTAGTTCTCCAGTGGGCCTCCGTTGTGTTGTATTCTTACTTGCTCATTGTCATTGGCATTCTCGTTTTGTCTTCCTGCCTGTCTGTCCTCCTGTATGTCTGGTGGTCTGATAAAAATTGCTGTAGGATAGTGATATGATAGCTGTACTGAAGAGGCTGCAACTTGAAACTCATCTCGCCAAGGTTAGAGCATTACATCAGCCCCACTGCTGCTACATTAACTGGCTAATGGATTGTGTGTGTGTGTGTGTGTGTGTGTGTGTGTGTGTGTAAGAAAAAGATGGCAAGAGAAAGGTAGTAGGGTATCCTGATGTAAAGTGATGCTGAGTCAGCGTCAATTGCATTTAAGAGCAATATGTTTCTCCTCATATTTCGCTGTCTCTCTTTCTCACACAAACAGCATAATTTTAATTGCGTCCTCCTCATCCTAGTATGATGTACTTGCGAATGACAGAGGGTGTGAAGTGAAGTGTAACCTGTTTGTCCCAAAGCAATACTATGAAAATCTGTGTGAATATTTGAAATTGTACAGATTAAAAATATGCCATCTACTCATGTTTTTTTTTTCACATTTCTTAAGGGATTCTAGTACATTGTCAGCATCGCAAATAGCATTTTCTATTTATTTGGAAGTGTATTCCGAGCTTCCTTCATCATAAGAGGACATTTTAAGGGTCTGAAAGAAAATACTTGAACCTTTCACTTTTTAAACAAAGCAGCATTGCTAATAGTTTCTTTTAACCCTCCCCTTGATTATAAAATATTATTATTATATTTGTATTTATAACTTCTAGATTCTTAATAAAACTCTAGGGGCTATATGATGCTGAACCTGTGTTAAAGGCAACCCTCCCTGCCTTCCCAACAAATTCAGGTTACTCTCCAATAAACCTTTTTTTCTTCCAACACAAAACTAGAAACTGTGGATATGACGGGTATGACAGAATACTAAATTTTCTCTCAAAATTTGTACCAAAAAAACATTGAATATATGTGATACAATAAGTATATACAAGTGTTATTCTTCCTCTGCCTAATAACATCGATCCACATATATTTTTACCCTGGCCAGTATTGCTAGTACTCATTGAGAGATGGTAGCTTGAGTTTAATGTGAGGAAAAAGCCTGCCTGTGTCTGCTCAGTGATGCCCTGTAGTTCTCAGGCTCAGGTGTGAAAGAGCAGCTTTTAGCAGCCAGTGAATTACTCACCAGCAGAAAGCCGGTGAAAGGTGATCTCTCCATCCGCCCAACCTTTCTGCAGCCCTTCGGTAGTATTGACCAGGCAGGGGGATTTCTGGATTTCTGACTCCCCAGGGCCAAGCCCTGTTTCCAGTCTGGCTGTCGGCCATGCTCCCCTGAAGCCTGAGCTCCATAACGTCACCCTGCTGTCTGACCTGTGTGTGTGTGTGTGTGTGTGTGTGTGTGTGTGTGTGTATACGGCTTTGTGTGTGTGTGTCATACCTGTAGAAGGTTTGAATGATTGCAGGGTTATCAGGTCAGACTTGTGTGTGTGTATGTGTGTGTGTGTGTGTGTGTGTGTGTGTGTGTCTGACAGACATCAGCAGTGATCCATTGGGACGTGGGCCATTTGTCACAGGACAAATACATAAATGTTTGATGGCTCAGCAGGCATAGACCGGGTGGTTTATGACCTGAGAACAGAGTTTTCCTCAGGAACCAGTAACCTCCCTGGTGGTTTATCAATGCAACACCCAACACTTCTCATGTAAAATCCCCCAAAACTATCCAAACAATTTAAACTGAGACCAAAATGAAGGAAAGTATTTCCGTGGCAGTGTGGTATCATGGATTGCATAGTGGCCTGGTGGTGGCACTGAGAATGGAGAAGGGTTTCCTGCTATTTCAGGAATGTTCATGTTATGCAAAAATTGCTTCTTCTGTGAATCTCAGAAGTAAGAAGATGAGGTGTGTTCATGCCACAATATCACAGTTTATATTTAGTGGATGATACACACAATAAAATTCATAGACATTTAAACATTTTCTCTCTAAACCTCCCTCTGAAGTCCATAAAATAAATCATTAATCACCTCACGAATCCTCAGATTTATACTGTGTACCTTTAGACGGGCCGACCCCGAGTTTGGACCCACTGGACTAGAGCTGCCCCCGATTAAGGGTTTACATTGTCGAATCAGAATCATCAAGTCCTGCCTATAGTCGACTGATAGTCGAATCATGTGTGTTTTTGTGCGTGATGAGCTTGGGGTGGTAACACATGGTGGCTCTGCTTTAATCTTGAGAAGCTGCAGTGCTGCTGTCTCTTTTCATTCAACTTACACTGTAAATTTCCAGCTAAACTGACGCTTATTGTTGACCCTTCTCTTTCTCTCTTGCCTGCCATTCACCGGTCTTGTACAAACTTTTGAGTGCATTCCCTGCTGCCGACAACTGCATGTACGTCGCGGTTCCTTGCGTGTTTATTTTAAGTAGCTATTTAAAAACAATAAAACTCGGCACAACACCAGTGAAGCTGGGGCTCTGTCTCTTCAGCAAGTGTTCCTCTTATTTCACTACACATGACAACCCAGGGTTAGGGTTACAATTTTGGATTTATTTACACTCTTTTAAAAACATTTATTTAAAGTTTTATTATTTTTACTTTTTTATTTACAGCATTAAACATTGAAATGTGTATTGTAATAGGCTGTATATTAACATATTGGGAGAAAACTGGTAGTTCTGTGTAAAATCAGACATTGAGCACCCCCACATCGCCTAAATGGCATGATCCTTGTTTCACTGCGAAGCTTTGACAGTGAGATTGACAGTCGAACCAGGCTCCGCCCATCGAAGCATCGAATCTTCGTCCATTTGGGGTCAGCCCTACACTGGACTAAACTAGCTAACCAAATATAAAGTAGTTCAAACTAGCGCTACCACAAGCAGCTACAACAGTAAAATACTGCTTATATTTCAGTATTGACAGTCTGTCATATAGAATAAAATGTCAGTTACAAGTCACAAGTACTTCTACATAAGCACATTTTGCTATTATCACTTTTTTATATAGAAAACACACAATCCACTTCTAAAATATGATTCATTCCCATGGTGTAGACAAAACATACAAAGCATGAAGTCCATTAGTAACTGATTCCTTAAAATCGTTTGTGTTGAAATCAACCTAGTAATACTTAGGAACTGTTTGATGACAGATTGAGGTTTATTGAAAATACAGATGTTACTATTAAAAAGGCCCAGCAGCTGCCTACATAAACTCAACTCCTTTGGAGTAGATCGGAAAATATTGACAACATTTTATACTTCCTTTTAGTGAAAGTATTTTAACTTTTTCATTTCTTTGCTAGTTTACACCTCTTTGCAAGGTGTCGTTAACCTCAGCTTTAAAAGGATTGGCAAAACACAAAGATCCCTTGCATAGCTTAATACAAAACAAGTCCTTTAAAAAAGCCCGTAGTTTAATCAACGACTCCACACATGAATACTTTAACTTAATATCATCAGGAGTGTGTTTTAGATGGACTGCATGTAAAACCAATAAGGAAAAAGAACAGCCTATTTTCAATGCAAATCAACTTGTTTGAAGTAGTTCCTTATTATTGATTATATATGGGGGTACTTGTCATAGTAGTTAAAGGGCAGTTGTTACTAATAACATTAACAATGGCTCTGGTCCGTAAGAGTGTACCGGTAAGCATTTTTTTCCTACTCTGTTAAAAAGGCCTATTCTTTCTTGTTTCAAGCTACACAAACAAATTTCTACAACAGGTTGGAATATTATTCAGTGAGACAAGTTTTTCTTTCGCTTAAACTTAAGGATCACAATAAGGACTTGGACTCAATCATAGACCAACATGTCTTTATAAGATTGGGAGGTTTGCAGATAACCCTAAACTGTATAGTTAACATTAGCTTGACAACATTAAAATGCTTCATAACAATAATGAATATGTTTAGTTTTGATACTTAGAGTATATTTGACTTGTAACATACTTCAGATTGTGTGTCAATCTACAGTAAAGGTCAAAAGCCCATGTTACCGGAGACTGAGACGGACCAAATCAGTGATTGGCGCCTTGACAGTGATTGATGGACTTAATTACTTTTGAGGGGATAATACTGTTAAATCCAGCTGTATCAGTGAGGTATTACATCTTACTGAAGTGTGTTAGTGTATGAGGTATAATATTTTCACAATGTTATGGCGCTCAAATGACTAATTCTCCAGAGAACAGAAGCCATTATTAACTGTTGAATTTTTATTAGTTTTGTTGCATATTCTGCATAAGAATGTGTATAGCATCTTCAAAACAACAAGGTATTTTAAAGAGCTTAAATGAGAAACTTAAAAAAGACATTAAGAAAATACATAAAAGAAACACAAGGCAATATAAAAAGACATAAATTTGATTTTTAATGTAAAATTAAATGCAAAATGAGAATGATTAGGCCCAAATTAAATTAAACAATTACTTAACATTTTACTAAACAAAATGCACTGCCGTTATAATTAGAAGAGGAGAAAGGTCATTCTAAGTCTTTTCATAGGAGTTTCATAGTTGTGGTGCTTTTATCTCTCATGTTTCCTTCTAATCTTGAATCCGAATTATGTCTAAGAAACCGTAACTTACAACTTTCTGTACTCTGTTTTACATAAATCATCTCTTGCGAGGTGTCTGTACATAATTCTGGCTCATTAGGTGAGTCAGTAGCTCAATAGCTGTTGTTGTAGTGTGTGACCTTTCTGACTGTTCTGATCTGTTAATTTATTTTATTAAATTTAATTTTTTACAATGTCTGCCATTTGTGCTATTAACTGTTTATATCTTACAACTGTTTGGATCCAAGTGTAACTGTTTGGATCCAACAGAAACACAGAGGAACAGGTTTTGAATGCAAAGGTGTGTGTGTGCGCTTCACAGATGAGACCAGTGTGGCAAACGTGTGGGACTCCAAGAATCGCGGTGTGAACGGTACCCAGAGAGGACAGATCGTGTGGAGACTGGAGCCGGGACCCTACTTCATGGAGCGTGAGTGGACTTCACGGGTCCTGTGCTTGTCTTAATTACATTATGTGTTGCTAAAGGGGCTTTCCACTGCTTTTACAGATGAGCGTCACTTTAATTGTCACAAAGAGGTACTCAGCCTGTGAAAACAGTTGTATAATGACGTCACTGGATATTGAGCTTTGTCATATCTGGGGGAAAAACCAATGGTGAGTTCATAGTGATGTCATCGTTTCTGTCTGTCTTCTCTCCACAGCAGAGACTAAGATCTGCTTTAAATACTATCATGGTGTAAGTGGAGCATTAAGAGCAACGACACCTTGTATCACCGTCAAGAACCCTGGAGTACTGGTATGTTAGTCCCTCTGCTCCCTACAGTCGTTCCTCCACCTTAAATCTTTCACCATCCACTCTTTTCTCTTTCTACTCCATTATTCAGTCCTTTCTTTCTCTTCTGCCCTCGGCTCGATTTCTCTCACTTTCTTTCTTAAGCAGTCACATCCTTAATCCTGCCGTCTTATTGGCTTCCAGAGCCCAGTGATCAAGGACCATATTTATTAAGCATTTCAGAGCAAGAAATCCGTCCTAACTGGCCAAACACTCCCAGAGTGACTTATTTATTTAAAACTATAGTGGAGTTATAATATGTGAGAGATGTGTTTATGTTGTTGTCATGGTGTGGTCTTTGTAAGGGAAATCTTAATGCTACAGCGTACACTTTTAGACAATAACAGTTTGTGTTTGGCCTTTTCCTGTTTCAGTACAACAATGCCCCCGTGCACAAATCCAGCTCCATAAAGAAATGTTTTTTCCAGTTTGTTGTGGAAGAACTTGGGTGGCCCGCACAGAGCCCTGACCTTGACCCTATCCAACACCTTTTTCCACTGCATAGTACTAGCTCGAGTTGGGATGAACTAGAACAGAGATTGTGAGCCAGGCCCTCTCATCCAACATCCAGAACAGGCAAATATTCCCACAGACAAACTCTTGTAGAGTGCCTTCCCAGAAGAGTGGAAGCTGTTGGATAGCTGGAAAAGGGGGACCAACTTTATATAAATGCCTATGGATTTACAAGGGGATGTCATAAAAGAAATGTGTAGGTGTCCCAGTACTTTTGTCCATATAGTGTACACACAGGAGACTTAAAGTATAAATAACAATAAAGTTATTATTAAAGTAGACTATTACATGTTTTGCAGCACACAGAGGGTTTATCATTGCGAAAAAGCCTACATGCAAGATGCAGCTATTATTATGGGCAGTTTAAAACAATGTGATTGAGTCTTGCTGACAAGGATATGTCAAATAGCTGAGTCAAACGATCAACTGTTTTAATTTGCATACACATAATTACAAATAATGCACCACACAAGTGGCAATGTGGGTTCTGCACTTGGGTCCAGACTGGAATATCTTAACAACTATTGGATGGATTATCATGAAGGCTACACATAAAAAGTAGTGCTATTTTCTACATTTAGAATTTTACCAAATATTTCCAAGCACATCTGTCAGAAATCTACAGTACGCCATCATGGATTCTACTTATCGGCTGTTGCAAAACAGCAGTGCAACGCTTTCTACCTGGATTCTTAGTTGTGCTACTGAAAGTCAGTGCAGGAACCTTTACAAATAACTAGGTATACTATAATAATAATAAAAAGTCCTACTTTGTGATGCAGAAGCGTCTTAGTTTGACTTTCATTGGAAATCCTCTGAAGGATTCGGAGACACTCGGCCCTGGTTATCAGCTGCAGATCTCCTCCTTCGACCTCCGCTAACACAGTGAATAAAGGCACGCATCAGGGACCAGTTCAGCACAGGTGGTTTTAAGAAGATAATCTTCTTAAGTCTTTCCTTTTTCTCACAGATCACTGCAGCTGTGTCATCTGCCTCTTAACCCCAAAAATTTATTGGGTAACATATTCTGGGCTCATCTCAGCTAGGACAGAACCTGGAAATAATTTTGAGATGGCAGGGATGCAGCCAGAGTTGGTGGTGGATGTCTGGCGGAGAGACGTTTGCTCCAGTTGAGTCAGTAAAATGAAAAGCAGTCAGCTTGAATCAGAACTCTCAGACCATTATTTCTTTCCCTCTCGGATGATTCCTCCTTTTAACTTTTCATCCAACTCTGGTTTTTTTTTCTCTTGGGTTGAAGCCAGTTCACTCAAAAAACGGAGATGGTAAGGGATCCACTCACTGCTCTCCTATTGGTTGTTTTCTTATTAGGTACGCAGTGAAGGCCAAGTGGAAGACCAATCAGGGACTGAGCATTGTCGGAAACTAGTCAGCTTCACCCTATCAGGTGAGAGCGATGATTTAGTGGAAGTGTCATGTAGTTGTTCTTTTGTATTTTATTTGTAGATTTGGCAATATTGTTGTTTTACATTCATGCCAATAAAGCCTAATTGAATTGAATTGAAAAATAAACCTTTATGCTGATGAATGTGTGCTCTTTACTCAAGACATCCGGGCGGTGGGCCTGAAGAAGGGCATGTTCTTCAACCCTGACCCCTATCTGAAGATGTCCATCCACCCCGGGAAGAGGAGCGGCCTCCCCAACTTCACCCACCACGGCCAGGAGAGACGCTCCTCCATCATAGCCAACACCATTAACCCTGTGTGGCATGGGGAGGTCAGCACTAACACACATCCCTGTAAAAATGCACACACTGTGGAACGCTTCCAAAAACAAATTAAATAAGTGTTTATTGCACAATGTGCTGCCCCGATATATTAGAATGATAGGTGATGAAGTACATGATTTTCTAATAATCTCAGAGTGAATTATTGTGCTTATACAATGACCGTGATCCCCTTTTCCCAAGACAAGAGCTTGGATTATAAAAATAGAGAGACCAAACTTGTTTTTTTAAGGATTAAAAAGGATTTAAGGATTTTTTTACTGGTGACCAGTATTATTCTAAATATGTATGCTTTAGAAAAGCCAAAAAGCTGTGGTGAGATCTTACACCAAGTATGAGACCTGAAAACTAAAGTCAGTCAGTCAGTAAAATTTAAAACTTTTTACATGCGATCTCTGATTGTCTTCCAGTAGCTTTAAATCCAGAGCATTCCCAGAACACGTGGTTATGATTTGCTCAGCCTCTCCAGCTTGCTTTCTGCCCCACCTCGGACTGTTAAAGTGCTAGTGTATCTGTCCATATTTTTCCAATTAAACTCTTTCCAAGAACAGTGAATTGGTTGATTTCCAATGCTTATGGTTGATGTTTTCCCACTCCTCCACTGCTATTACAAAGTTTTCTGTGCTTTCCCACTTTCGTAGGATGTCTTCACCTACTGAGCTCTTGAAGGCCCTTGTATAGTTTAGTTTAGAGACCTAGGTCAGCTCTGAATGCTGAATTCAAAACTCTTACTATACCAGATATGGATCTTGTTTTTTTAAGATTTTCTCTATTAAATGTTTTAGCAGTGTGATGTCTCGGCTGTAAGAAACTAAAGAAATCCTGACTTGCCAAGCCATATTATTCCCTGAAATCTCAGAAGCTTTCAAGTGAGGATTTCTCAAAAAACTCAAAATATTCAGACCTCACTCCTGCCATGTTTTGAAATTTGCTTCCAGCTTGTTTGGAATATAGGCCGCAGAGCAGATCAGTGAATAGGGCTTATTGGGCCCAAAGGACATAGCCAGTTTAAACCAGGTTTTGAATGAGAGTTCTAACCGTGGGTTGGATATTTCTGTTTTTCAGTTCAATTCACTATTTCGAATGAGTAATAATAAATAAATAAACCACATTTACAGTAGTGTAATACAGCAGGTGAAAATATAACTATACTTTGTACTGTTGTTCCTGTAGAAATACACCTTTGTGGCTCTGATGACTGACGTGTTGGAGATCGAGGTGAAGGATAAGTTTGCCAAAAGCCGTCCTATCATCAAGCGGTTTCTGGGTCAGCTGATCATCCCTGTGCAGAGACTTCTAGAGGGGCCGACAGCTGAGTGAGTCCACGTACACATACCATTCACATCTCATATCTCTGAAAGGTCGAGGTTTTGAAATACACTGCAGCTCCCACTTACTTCTAAAAAGCACTGAGAGAGAGAACATCTGATGATGCACACAAACCTGACCTTCAGCACTCAATATAGTTCAGTCAATATGAGACAATCAGCTCATTGTTCGGGCATTGATTTGATATTGACCAACAACTGAGGACATCATGTACTCTAGTGAACCATGATGTATATTGTGTGTGAAAGTTTATGCCAGTAGGTAGTGGGGCAAACAGCACTGAATTCACAAGCTCATTGCATATGAATAGTAAACTGTTCTAATGTACATGATCAGCCATAACATTATGACCACTGACAGGTGAAGTGAATAACACTGCACAGCCACAGACCAGTCAGCCCATGCTGACCCCTGTCCACTGCCTGGTCTGATGAACCACATTTTCTTTTACACCTGGATGGCCGGATGTGTGTGTGTGTGTTGCTTACCTGGGGAACTCATGGCACCAGGATGCACTATGGGAAGAAAGCAAGCCGGAGGAGGCAGTGTGATGCTTTGGGCAATGTTCTGCTGGGAAACCTTGGATCCTGCCTTTCATGTGGATGCTACTCTTGACACGTGCCACCTACCTAAGCACTGTTGCAGACCATGTGCATCCTTTCATGGAAGCGTTTTTTCCTGATGGCAGTGGCCTCTTTCTGAACAAGTTCAAGGTGTTGACTTGGCTTCCAAATTCTCCAGATCTCAATCCAATCGAGCATCTGTGGGATGTGCTAGACAAACAAGTCCAATCCATGGAGGCCCCACCTCGCAACTTACAGAACTTAAGGATCTGCTGCTAACGTCACGCCAGATAGCACAGCAAACAGAGGTGGAGTGGGGTCCATGCCTCAAAGGGTCAGGACTGTTTTGGCGGCAAAATTAGGACCTCACAATATTAGACAGGTGGTCATAATATTATGCTGATTGGTGTTGGGGTGTGGATACTCTGTCAAGGAGTATGCAGTCCTACATAGAGTCTGCCTATGTACTATTCTGCCTTCCAGGCTTATTTAACTGTTATATGAATTAGCCCCCCCTAGTGCACACTTGGTTACTGTAAATTATTGGGATCTGGAAGTTAAGAGTTCTGTATTAATGGCACATGTCTCATAGAGTTCACTTGAGTGAAAGTGTATCTGAAGCCACTCTGATTGTTTGCACAGCTTCATTCCAGTGTGCTCCTTTGAGTCTCACATTAAACTTGGAGCTTAGATGCTACATCTTTATTCTTAAGTGTCATTTCTGAAGAGAGTTTAGCTGGCGGCTGAATTCAGGTTAGAGCACCGGAAGGAAAGCGGTGCACCTTGTATTACAAGAAAATGTGTTTCTTTTTGTCTGGTGCGTCTGTGTATTCTCTGATAATGCATCTTCTAGTATTGAAAGATGCTCTCATTACGGGTCGTATCTAATCTGTGTTGGGTCTGTGTGCATGCAGAGATCAGCCAGTCAGCTACAGCCTGTGCCGTCGTCTGCCTACGGACCATGTGAGCGGGCAGCTTCTGTTCAGAGTGGATATCACCACCACCGGACAAGAAGGTTTGTACATCATACATTTTGGGGTGATGTACCATGAATATGAGCCCCTGAGTGGGAGCCTTAATTTTTGATCATGCAGTCAAACAGAGACAGACAAATGAGCCTTGTGTTAGATTCAAACCCTAGCCCCTGCGGTAAAAACTAGCGATTGACAGATAGGGGTTTTCCAGTGGCCGATGCTGATATTTGGATAGCAGGGCAGTCGATTGGCTGATATACAATATATAGACAAAAGTACTGGGACACCTACACAGTACTTTAATGACATCTCATTCTAAATGTATAGGCATTAATAAGGCCCCCTCTTTGCAACTACAACCAGTGTTGGGCATGGTACTCAATAATTGTAATGAGGTACTTTATAGTCCTTGCTCAGAACAGAAAATTACCTTTCACATCTAGAACATGAAACAGGTGCAGTGGATGAGTAGGTCAAAAGCTGCAAAGAAACTCCTGCACACTGTCTAACTTTAAATTTATAAGCTTGGTAACGTTTCAGTACTAGACCTTAATTTGGCCTGAAGGTCTAGAAAACTCTAATACTATAAAACATGTCCTCTCTTGTATTGCATGCTGTATATGACGTGCATGATATAAATGCTGCATTACATTACTTGAAGGTTGTTTATTTTTTAAATAAAGTTTCAAAGATTTTGTTTTGTTTGTTTTCTTTTTCTCAGAAACCTCCCCAGGTGCAGAAAGAGGCATCTTGGGTGGCGCAGTGAACGGTGACCCTGGCAGTCCCTCGGACGACGAAGACCTCCCTCACCCATCCCTGTCCTCACGCGTCACATGCGGACCTTCTCCCACGGGCTCCGACGAGGGCTCCCTGTTAGTCAACGGTGCTTGTTACTATGGCGATGACAGCGTGTGGCGGGAGCCTGGGCAGATGGGAGAGGAGGATCTGCTTCCTGTGGCTCTGGGCGGCCACACCCACCGGCAGGTGTCACTCAACGACTACCTGGATGCCATCGAGGCTCCCAGGAGCCCTGAGGACCGACCTCAGGAGGGACCATCGCCGAAACTCCGCTCTAGCTTTCCAACGGACACGCGGCTCAACGCCATGCTGCACATAGACTCAGATGAGGATGAGGAGACAGCAGGGCAGCACAGGGAGCAATCACAGGAGGAGAGCACAGAATTAGCCTTACCAAGGAGATTAGCTACATCTGAGTCTCCACAGGGAAAAAAGGATTCAACAGGGGATCCACACGGGCAAACTGGAGAAAGGACTTGGCCTGGAAGCGGGGCCACAACAGAGGCAGGTTCCTCTGCCAGCGCTCAGCCTGGAACTGAGCCTGCAGGGGCTGAACCTGGATCTGCAGAAGGTGCAGCTGGAGTCCGAACACAAGCAGGAACATCAGCGGCTGTTGAGACTGCAGCTGGGACCGGAGAGATTGCTGGAGCATCAACTGAGGCTGTACATGCCACTGGAGAAACCTCCACGCCTTCCTGCTCATCTCAGGCATCAGCGGCAGAGGCAGGTGCAGCAACTGGGCTGGGGGAGTCTGTGGGGGAGTGTACCTGTCAGGAGCAGAGCAGCCGGACGGGTGCAAACCAGGAAGTGCCCTGCAATCCCTCACTTGGTCCACTTTCACCCATTCAGGTGAACATCTGTAGTTTTGGTGACTAAAAGCTAGATTCTTGGATGCCAGGTGGGAGGAGCTTATTTTTTTCCCCTCTCCTTAGGAGGTGGAGATGAGAAAGGAAGTGGCTCCGAAGGCAGAGGAGGAAGGGGCGGAGTCATCGAGCAGTGAGGCAAACGGGCCAGTAGCAGCAGCTGCTCCTACCAGCAGCAACATAGCTGACCAAGGAGGAGGGACTTCTGAAAATGGTGAGTGTAAATTGTTTTTGTTAATGAGAGAGAGAGAGAGAGAGAGAGAGAGAGAGAGAGAGAGAGAGCTGTCAACAGATCTGTTTAAATGACATGTATGAATGTAGAAAATAGGTGAAAAATATGCAATGAACATATGTAGCTTTTGATTTAACTTTATTTGCACAAACTGACTGGATTTTAATCCTTGATACATTTTTTTTTCCCCTGGGAACAATGTTTTATTTCACTTTCCTTGATATGAAAAAATGATTTGGTGTTTAATAGACCATAGAACTTTATGTAAATATATAATATGGCTGCCAGAGCCACGCGCAGGCGGCGGTATCTCATTGCGCTGCTTTTGTCTGCTTCGTTGTTGAATAACATACATGAACTCCTAAAGTCTTGTTAATTACAGGAGCGAGAGCCAGCGGCGGGAACAGGCAGGAGGAGCAGGTGGTAGGGAAGGTGTGGAGGAGGCGGCCCATGCAGGCCTCCGGAGGCGTGTCCCAAAACCAGGAGGTGTGCGGGGCCAGAGAGAATCAGAACGGGACACCGGGTGCGGAGAGAGACACAAGTGAGATTCAAGGCTGGGATGGATTTATTTATTATTCCAATAAACAATAACTGAAAAGAAATTCTTATCGCCCTAGAGATTAATTTAGTTTTATGTACATGGGAAAACACATTTATTTTTTCATCTATATAGCAACACATTTCCACACATTGTTACGTCCTGTGAGGCTTTAGTCCTCTATCAGGTGCAACTGAGCAGCTCCATTGGAGCAGGGGAGGTTAATTGCTTTACATAAGGTCTCCTTAATGGTTGTTATTGAGAGAATCAAGGGTATTAATCATTCAATTTTCACGTCTATATTTTCCTGTCTCCTGGAGCAGTGCTTGCAGCCACTTCTTTGTAACTCAGGCTGTGATCTCGTCTAACAGACTTATAAAGAGTACCATCTAGACCTGCTCTACATTGAAAGAGCCCTGAGATAATTTTGGAAGGATTTGCTGCTATATAAATAAAACTGAGTTGTATTGAATTGAACAGGAGCAGATTAATGACGAAATTGACAGGCCAACTAGAATAAGCAGTTCATTTCCCTAAGCTTTTAATATGTTACTTTACTTTTTATCTATTTCATCTTCTTTTTTTCTCAGACTATGTTTGTTATTATTAAAACAAACTGATTCCACCACTAGTATGTATTGTATTCTGCCACAAATCCGACATAAGAGGAACATTCCCATGCAAAATCTGCAACGACATCTCTCTCTCTCTCTCTGCCAGAGGATTTGAGAGTGATCAGGCAGCATTAATAAACGACTGGAGCATTATCCAGATGAGAACACGTTTCCTGCAGCTGCTGGATTACAGAGAGAACAGTTGTGCTTATTTAACCTTTTTGACAGTTTTAGATGATAGCAGGTAACAGTGCTGCGCTTGAGGGGAGATGCTGTAGGATCTGAGCTCACGCTTGGAAGGTCGTGAAGTTTTGCGGAGAAGGAGTTCTATGAAAATACATTCACTGACATACAGCACATAGGAGACATTTCTGCCTCATATTTAAAGTGATGCAAAAATGTTTTGCAGTTTTGATGACATCAGATATTGTGTGTGTGTCTGCGTGTGTGTGTGTGTGTTTGTGTGTGTGTGTGTGTGTGTGTGTGTGTAGGTGCCACAGCTCAGGCCAATGGCCACCAGTCTGTTCGCTCGCTGCCATCTGTCCGCCATGACATCAGTCGTTACCAGAGAGTGGACGAGCCGCTACCACCTAGTGAGTGTGTTTGTGTGTGTGTGTGCGCGCGTATGTGTGTTTGCAGTAAGTTATGATTTAAACTCCGGGGAAAGGTGTTGATCACTACATCACAAACCTCAGAAAAAGTCTCCTATCCTACGCTTTGTTCGCACCAAGCTACAGTAACACAGTTGTAAGTTATAAGAACATTTATTATTTGTGTAATGTGTTAATCAACAATCATAATTCTCCCATGAAACATCAATGAATGAATGATTAACAGTTACTGATTTACACAGCTGTAATCTTATTTAATGTTATGTAATTGCACACATGAACAAATCCGCACAGTGTGTTATAATAAATATGTACAGATCAGTCACAGGCACGTTTAAATATTTTTATAAATGTGTGCAAATCCCACAAAGACCTCTGAATTATTTATTTTCTTAACTGAATGTTCACTTGCTGAATTTCTTCTGGAGCTTTCAGCCACATCTCGCCGCTTTAATTAATAGATGGAGTTTGCTCAGTTGTCATGAGAGTGAATATGTTTAAACATTTTATTAATCAAAAAAGTATTACTTAATATAAGTGTAATAAATACATGTAATTAACTTAATACAGCAAATGAATAGTTACAAAACAGGAATTCTAGCTATCATTCTTTTACTGTTACTTCACAGGAGGAGTTTTTTGACAAACTGATTAATAAACACTTTTATTTATACATACCATTTACAACCATTTATCAATTCTTTATAATTGCTTCCAAACAAGTGTTGCCCAAAAGTGTACTGAACAAGAGTTACTTCATCACCTTTCCAATATTCTGTGTGATTTACTATTGTTTGCTTAGACAAAAGTAAATTATGCTCCAGGTCAAAGTCAGTTTTGCATTTTGGATATGTTTGTTCATCTTAACTGAAGTAGTTTTGTTGTCCTGTCAGTTCCTCTCCACTGACTCCTCGTTACACTGACAGTCAAAATGATTTCATAACTCAAACTGTGAAGTATTTTAGATCACTTTCAGGGAAGAAAGACTGGTAGTATAATCACGCTTTGTGCCTGTTCAAAAGAATCCATTCTTCGTCTTTTCAGAGGGTGTTCATTCCTTTGCACCTTTGCAGAAATTCTTACCATTACTGACAAGCCAACAGATGAATAAAATCGATTATACATTTGTTTGTTTAGATACCAAACCTCTGCATTGTCCTCATCAGCATGGCCTTACAATTGTGTTCTTACTTCTGTCAATGTGTGTGTGTGTGTGTGTGTGTGTGTGTGTGTGTGTGTGTGTGTGCGCGCGCGCGCGCGCGCCAGACTGGGAGGCTCGTATTGACAGCCACGGTCGGATCTTTTACGTGGACCACGTGAACAGAACCACAACTTGGCAGCGTCCCACCGCTCCCCCTGCTCCGCAGACCCTCCAGAGGTCCAGCTCCATACAGCAGATGGAGCAGCTGAATCGCAGGTCAGAACACACACACACACACACACACACACACACACACACACACACACACACACACACAAAGACAGATACCATATGGTTAGCATTACTTTCCTATTACTGTCACTGTGGTAATCAACACACACATACACACACCTTTGCAGGTATCAAAGTATACGTAGGACGATAACCAATGACAGCCGAGCAGAGGAACAGCCAGCCAATGAGCTGCCGCCAGACGAGACTGACACGCACCCCTCCATCCCAGGTAATCCTCTCACTGCACTGCATTCTGCTCTGTGTGGTCTGTAAAGCATGTCCTGGATTTGTCCTGGCCTTGATTTGTGTATTTTTTTTCTGACTCTGTGTGTGCGTGCTGTGCGTGTGTGTGTGTGTGTGTGTGTGTGTTGCAGAGCTGCGTAGGGACAACAGTGTGGCTCAGTCCAGTTCCAGGTCTCGCCTTACCCTGCTGCTTCAGTCCCCCAGCGCAAAGTTCCTCACCAGCCCTGACTTCTTCACTGTGCTGCATTCCAACCCTGTACGGAGACTTGTTGTCTTCTTCTCTCTCTTCTTTCTTTCAACCAATCCATCTCTCTTTCCCCCAACCTCCTTCTCGTAGATAGCGTTCTGCTATTTGTTGCAGGAAATTGCAAGGCCTTCTCTTCTCAACCTCTGTCGACCACAAACTCATTAAGGGAATGTACGAAAATTAGTAGGGAAAAATACAACTATTTCACTGGCTTCCTGTTTGGGTCTTATCAGTCATGCAAAACAAAATGCTACTGACAGTACTTTATTTTGTACTGTGCAAATAACACTTGCACTGTGCATGTCGCCGTATGTGCTTTGTACTGCTTTGTTGTCAGTCTATTCAAAAAAATAGTGGTGGGGGGGGGCTATGAATGACACTGGGGAGGGTCTTGCTTTTCTATAAAGTGGGATGTAAGATTCAGCCTCCCTCCCCTCACCAATAATTTTCATACAGTCCCTTACTTGTAAAATTCAAAGCACATACGCCTAATAATGGTGATGGATAATGATCACAGTGGGACAACTTCACTTAACAAAAATCTCATTTCTCTGGTGAATGTGTTTCCCCCTCTTCCTCTCTGCTATAAATTCTCCCCTGCTTCTCTCTCTGTGTCCCTCACTGTCTCTCTCTCAGAGTGCCTACCGTATGTTCACCACCAACACGTGTCTGAAGCATATGATCAGTAAGGTTCGTCGGGATGCTCACCACTTTGAGCGCTACCAGCACAACAGGGACCTGGTGGCTTTCCTCAACATGTTCACCAACAAACAGCTGGAGCTGCCCAGAGGCTGGGAGATGAAGCACGACCACACCGGCAAGGTGGGAACGACACCCATATCAGTTCCTCAAAGTCTCATTTTAATAACTCAAGGCCTTGAAGGCTTTTGGATATAGTAAAATTCAAAGAGGTTGTAGATAAACATGCTCAAACATTTGTCTCTGTTATTTATTTGTCATTTCTATTTAAAAAAGTGTTTTTTAAACATATAAATGTAACTCGATGATGATTGATGATTAAAACCTGTCAGGTTGGAACAGCCGCTGAAACTGATTTTAATGTTTTGTGGACAAAATATTCTGCCACAAAATATGTTTAGTCGCATGAAATACATGATGTCGTGTTTATCGTAGGCTCACAGTGTCATGTTCCCTTCCACACAATGCATCTAACCACAAAATTAAGAATATAGAATATCATTACCATGTTATTGTCAAAGTTAGAGGAGATTTTACTTATAAATAAAGTACTAAATGGATAAAAGTTAATAGGACATTGCTGCCTTCAAATGGAGCTCATGGTTATGACTTGGTGGTGATGGTGCCGTGGGTAAGACCTGTAGGAGACCTGCGTTTGATTCTCACTGTGACACATCCACCGACACTTAATCCCTAGTTGTTCAAGAGGCGGGCGACCTCTGACATGTATAGCAATTGCAAATGTATGCAAAATGTAAATGTATGTTATGGGTAGTCGTGTACACATGATGCTTGCAACATGGACGCCATGGACTCCTTATTGCTCTCTTGTCATTCTCCGCTTCTTTCCAAGAAATGTTGACTCACTTTGTATTTCAACGCCTTGCGGAGGAGAAAGATATGAAATGTACATAGAATTATAATATATTAAGGTACCATTCACACAAAAAATTAAGTTCCATGGCCATTTCTGAAAACGTCAGCATGTCCCTCTGCAACATGTCCCAACTTATGAACTAGAAATGTTCTGGATACCGGACCCAAAGATGGCGCGATTCAGTCCAACGTGAATTTCTCATCTGGCGAGAAGAGTCTTCTTATTTTATTGCGCGGTTCTTCTTATGTCTTATGTTATAGAAAGAGTCACAATTGACCTTGTTTGAAGCTCGAGGTGTCCTGTCAACAGTTTTACAGACGTGTTTTTTCCCCCTGCAATAGTGGCCACTGGGCAAAATTAGAAACAAGCCTGAGTGGCAGTGGCCTGTCCAGGTCTTATTATACATCCATAATACCCCGCGGCGTTCATATGAACTGTTATCTTGAACACGGTAAACATGACCCATTTGAAGGCAGCATAAGTAAATATTTGTATTTCAACGTTTCGTAGTTTCTGTATCGCAAAGAAACGTATACTGTTTACTCCACTGAAAAAATGGACGCTTGACAGTTTCTTGTTTGTGTATGCAGCCTTTCTTTGTGGACCATAACTGCCGTGCCACCACTTTCATTGACCCCCGGCTGCCTCTCCAGAGTGCTCGCCCCCCCCCAAGCCTCCTGGCTCACCGCCAACACCTGACCCGCCAACGCAGCCACAGTGCCGGGGAGGTCAGCCCACGACGACTGGTGAGTACTAAACCACAGATACATTACACAGTCACATGTTGCTTAGATGCTTGTTAGGGTTAGGGTTATGCCATATAATAACAAAACTCACCTCTGAAATCAGAAGGGAAAAAATAACATCCTCTTCTCCTCTCTCTGTAGGCGGGTGAAGACCCTCGTCATGCCGGCCCACCCGTACTGCCGCGGCCTTCCAACACCTTCGCTTCTGCCAACAGGGGTCAGTGCCAAGATGTGCCAGTGGGTCAGTATACGCACAAACATCCGCACACACATACAACCCTTCAGAAATGATCACATTTGACCTAAATGAATGTGTGTGCTCTTCTTCTAGCTTACAACGACAAGATTGTGGCATTTCTTCGCCAACCAAACATCTTTGAGATTTTGCAGGAAAGACAGCCCGACTTCAACCGGAACCATTCACTCAGGTACACACTCGTATTTACTGTAGTATTCAATTTTATTTATGTATGTATATGGCGCCAATTCATTATCTTAGGACACTTGTCATGTAGACCAGATCAGGTGAAAAAAAAGTTTTTGTTTGATGTGTTTGATGTTGGAGTTAAAGGACATGTCCTGATCAAAAATCACACCCAAGATTCCTCGCGGTGGTGCTGGAGGCCAGGGCGATGCCATCTGTGATGGAAATTTGATATTTTACTGCATTATTATAGACCAGTGTTTCACTGTGTGGTTTTTGATCATTTGGTTAGGTTGCGGTTAGGTTGCAGTTAGGTAGAGGTTCCCATGGGAAAGATGCTCATTAGAGAGTTTTCTTATCTGACTGCCCATGATAAGCCTTCATCTCAGGGCAGTTGGTCCCTACTCCCTTCCTCCCTAAGATAGCTGCGTACTATAAAGTCACCTGTTTCTTCACCGGCTCTTTGTCTTACATTCTGCAGACTGTTTGCACTCTGCATGTCTGTCCGACCCTTTGCAAAGAATAAAAAAAAGACGTCTAGATTGGACTCATTGGACTTCACTCAGTAGACTCACTTAAGGTTTAATTTCCAAAACACATCCAGGTTTTTACGTCCTTAAGGCATGCTTGAAGTTTAGCTAAGCAGAACTAAGATCTAACATGAAAAGCACAGAAACAAGTGCATTGTCTGATGCAGTCAGAATGTCATTTGTAGTGCTGTCTCTGTGCTATGAGGCACTCTAAGTCCTGACTGAAAATTCTCAAACGAACAGTTGTTATGTAGAAAATCACACAACCGAAGGATATTACAGAGAAGCAAGTAGGACTGTGGGACTCTGCCTCCTGGTCTCAACTCCGGGTCGTCATGGTTTTGGTCCACTTATAAACGCGGTCAGATTTCTAGATATGAGAGCTCGTCCACCAGTATTCTTCTAGGTGTATTGTTCTTGTGATAACAGGGAGAAGGTGCAGCTGATCCGCACAGATGGAGGGTCGGGATTGGCCAGGCTGTCGGGTGACGCTGACCTTGTCATTCTGCTTAGGTGAGACCTGCTTCCTTCCTCCCTTTCCTCCTTTCTTTCCCTCCACGTTTCCTTCCCTTCCTAATATTTGCTTCCTAATTTAATTCCTCCCTTTTTCCTACTTCCTGTTCTCTCTTCTTTCTTTTTTTTTTATTGGCTTCACTTTTTCCATTTCAGGTCTTATTGTATTAGTTGTGCATTACTTTCCCTCTGCACTTCCTTTTTATTTCCTTTCTTTCTCTCTGACTTTCAGCTGTAGTCACTTGAGTTTATTTAATTTCTTCCTCGCTCTGTCTCCCCTCGTCTCTCCTGCAGTCTGTTTGAAGATGAAGTCATGTCCTATGTGCCTCCTCACGCCTTACTTCACCCCAGCTACTGTCAGTCACCTCGAGGATCCCCGGTCTCCTCTCCGCAGAACTCGCCTGGTAAGAGACAGAGAGACAGTCACACACTTACATTACATACAGTCATTTTTATTTCATAAATACGATTGGGACCAATTCCCCAAACTATTTCAGAGATGAGGATCTACCTTGCGTACCACTTCAACATGTGGAGAAATCCAAAGCTTGACTGACTGTTACAAAGCTGTGATTGGTGCAAATGGTCAATTCTTTTAGATGACTTAAACTTAATAGATACAGTTCTATTAACTAATATTATCAGACGAGGTTCATTATTCCCCGCTTTAAAAATCAGCCGAAAATATCAGTCAACGAGATGTCCTTCAGAAAACTTCACTTCGTCATCACTACCCATAGATAAACGTCTGTCTTTGTCAGAAGTTATTTTAGGAAATCCAGTTAAAACGATGAAAAGTGGGAGAGTAATAACAAGAAATCGAATAAACAAAATAACCCCTGAAATGCACAGACGTTTGCTGAAACAGATTTTTTTATTCACTCTTTCTTTCTGCCTGTAGGTACTCAGAGAGCTAATGCCAGAGCCCCAGCACCCTACAAGAGAGACTTTGAGGCCAAACTGCGCAACTTTTACAGGAAACTGGAAACTAAAGGCTACGGCCAAGGACCAGGGAAGCTGAAGTAGGTGCATTTGCCAAGAGAGAGCAACCTTTCTTTCCTGTTTCTTTGTGTTTACACATGTTTGTGTCCTTATGTGTGTGTTACTCAGATTGATCATACGTCGTGACCACCTGCTGGAAGATGCCTTCAACCAGATCATGTGCTATTCCCGTAAAGACCTGCAACGCAGCAAGCTCTACGTCAGCTTTGTCGGGGAGGAGGGGTGAGTATGTGGGATGGAAAAGATAAGCAAGTATGACACCCACGACGTGTCTGTGGTCCCTTTTTTTTCTTTGATTGTTCGATTTCGTCAAACCAGTAAAACCATCCTATCATTGAACAAAAATCAGGATTTTAATATATCGCCATACTGACAGTAATGATTACAGACATATGGTAAACATGTGGTAATTCACTGTAGGCTTACATTATCCTAAAGTGAAAGTAAAAGAATTATTATCCACAGTCAGCCAAAATAATTAAACGTGTCATAGGGTTTAACAATTTTTAAAAAGACAATCTAGTTACATTTTTACTGATACTGCAGTTGCAATATGATTTGCAATATTGGATAGAATAATATTTTACATCATTATTCTCATTTTCATTGAAAAACGTATTTAAATTAAGTCTGCAGAATACGGTCTGTAGACCAAGACATCTCTGCAGCATGACAACATTTAATACTAAAGGGTATTTCGACACACCTCCTGCTATTTCAAGATTTTGATGAATTGTCCTGGAGTGAAAGATAATTGTTGATTGTAGGGAAAGTTATTGTAAAAGGGGTTTATTAATGAAAGAAAGAAAGAACAAAACTAATAATGTTTTAGAAAGCAAGAAGATGTGATTTACATCAGCATGCAGTAAGGATAAATCTGTGCATTTGTGTGTTGCAGGTTGGACTACAGTGGACCTTCCAGAGAGTTCTTCTTCTTGGTTTCCAGGGAGTTGTTCAACCCTTATTACGGCCTGTTTGAATACTCTGCCAACGACACCTACACCGTCCAGATCAGCCCCATGTCCGCCTTCGTAGACAATCACCACGAATGGTGAGGTTTACTCTACACACACACACACACACACACAGGGTTTTGACATTAACACCCGCCAACCCGCCAAATGCGTCCTGCAGTGCCGACGTCAGCCTGTCAGTGTGTGTGTGTGTGTGTGTGTGTGTGTGTGTGTGTGTGTGTGTGTGTGTTTCAGGTTTCGGTTCAGTGGTCGTATTCTGGGTTTGGCTCTGATCCATCAGTACCTGCTGGATGCCTTCTTTACCAGACCCTTCTATAAAGGCCTGCTGCGCATGTATGTACTACCGTAAACAATGCACAAATGCATTTTTTTTTTTTTTAACTCATTCACATATAAACCAACACACACACATTCTCGCACTCCTCTCTCGCCGTGTAGTCCCTGTGACCTGAGTGACCTGGAGTATCTGGACGAGGAGTTTCACCAGTCTCTTCAGTGGATGAAGGACAACGACATAGAAGACATGCTTGACCTCACCTTCACCGTCAATGAAGAAGTCTTCGGACAGGTTAGACTCTGTGTTTCCAAAATGTATTTTATGTGGCGAGACGGAGAGAGAAAGAGGAAGGGACTGTAAAAAGAGTGTTTTGCTTCCTCTTCAGGAAATAAAGTGATGCAAAAGATCAATAAGTTTCTGCCTGTGTTCCCATAGATAACGGAAAGGGAGCTGAAGCCCGGCGGAGCCAACATCCCTGTCTCTGAGAAGAACAAGAAGGAATACATTGAGCGGATGGTGAAGTGGAGGATAGAGAGAGGAGTAGTGCAGCAGACTGAAAGCCTGGTCAGAGGATTCTACGAGGTACAGCTTAGTGTGACGTCAATCCAATCTGACTTTCACATTTTACATTTTATATATATCAGTCTTTCCGGGATTTTAATGGGCCTTTTTGTGATTGTTTCACCTAAAATGCCTGATTTTGCGGCAGCTTTTCTAAATAATTGCGATGTTTTTCAGCATTTCTTTGCGATGGAATTGTGGGAATAAGTGGAAACTGTAAAAGTAGATGTTCAAGGTATTTCCAACTTTAGAATTATAGTTGAAGTGATTGGTCAAAATTGCAAGTCGCGCTGAATTCACAGGAATTTCTGTTAATAGTTGCGATTGTGACACTTTGGTCATTTTCAGGTATTGAGTTTCTGCGATATCTTCATGTTTTTTCAGTTTCTCTATCAAAATGTTCTGTGGAAAATGGAATATTTTGTGTGTGTATTTTCCAGGTGGTGGATGCGAGGCTGGTGTCTGTGTTTGATGCCAGGGAGCTGGAGCTGGTGATCGCCGGCACAGCTGAGATTGACTTATCAGACTGGAGGAACAACACAGAGTATAGAGGAGGTATGGAAGAAAAGACGGATGAATGTTTAACAGACTAAATGTATTTTTATTTTATTTTATTTATTTATTAATTTTAAACCTTTGTTTGTGTATGTTCCTACAACAATAAGGAGATCAAGGGAAAATTTTACCTCACGCACCGCAGTACTTTACTATTATTCATTCTACTTCTCGGCCCTCATGGCACCAGGGAGCCATACCAGGCAAGACGGGTGCAGTGCAAAATGGGGAGGGAGAGGCTGGACCCCCGTACCCAACAAGGCCTCTCTCTAGCCAGTATGGCCTGCCTGTTGCTGTCTCAGAGGGGCTGCCAGAAAACAGATCCTCTGGGAGAGGGTCGATGTCCCTTGTTCTGAGCGATGCCACTGCCTCTGGGGTGAATCCCTTCAAACGTGCTTGATATTTACAGTACAGATTCTGTCACTGTGAACAATGGCATAATCAGCATATCAGTGGCCACAGGAAACCTGCTGTGGCCACTTCCTAAGTGTTGCTAAAAGTTTGGTAAATATATATTTTTGTGTGGCTCTAAATTTTTCTCCAGAGAATAAAGCCTACTGACTTTGGAGACTCTTTATCTTGGATTCATCCAGTACTTCTGTAGTTTTGCTGGCATTTTGTCCTAAGCCGATGTTCCCATAAACCTCAGCCACACAGCTTTGTGTTTAGCGAGAATTTGCAAATGTTGGCATGGTAAACTAAGATGGTCTACAACATCATAAACATTATACGAGCTCAAGAACAGCATCACAGACCCTTGCTTATTAACCACAATGAAATACGAACCAAGTAGAGTACGTGTTCATCACATATTTCTTTCCCTTGCTTATTTTCTAATGAGGTAGTGAGGTTTTATATATATGACATAAAACATGCATGATTTGTGAAGAGGCATGTGAACCTGAAGTCTTGTATGGGCAGCCCCCTGTCTCAGCTGCCAACATGTGCGCTGATGAGTTGTAACCCACAATGCTTCCTCTTGAGGGGTTGGGAATCAAGGGTTAGACCCATAATGAGCCAGCGCCTTCAGGGTCTGTTACATACAGTTACTTCAACATTCACACACATCTCCAGCAACCAGACGCCCATCCAGATCAGCCAAATAGATAATCTTGATACTCGTACTGTAAACAAATGCATACATTAACCACAGTCGTCTAGTCTTTTCCCAGCACTTACCATGTGCCTCCTTGTTTGGAGAGTAATTGTCTCGCGGGTTCGTGTCTGTGTTGTGTCCTCCTTTTTCCCTCGGACTCGTGGCTCGTCTAACCATCAGATCCCAGACTGCTCTGAGTTCAGTTTCCGGTTGAGGGCTCGGATGTTGTTATTCAGCATGATCACGATCGTGTGGCCACAGTTACATGAAAATGACGTTTTATGTTTAGGTTACCATGACAACCACATTGTGATCCGGTGGTTCTGGGCAGCTGTGGAAAGGTTCAACAACGAACAGAGACTGCGGCTCCTGCAGGTAGGCGCACGTGTGTCTGTGTGTGTAAGATAGAGACAGAAAGTGCATTTTTTTGCCACCAGTCTTCTTATTCTCTTTTTTTCTTTTCTGTCCTCTCTCCCTCCTGTCTCCCACTTCGTCTCACCCTCCCTCCCCTCGGCCTTTTCAGTTTGTGACCGGGACATCCAGTATTCCCTATGAGGGCTTTGCTTCTCTGCGAGGCAGCAACGGACCCCGACGGTTCTGTGTGGAGAAGTGGGGGAAGGTCACCTCGCTACCCAGGTAAACACAGGAGGAAACTGCAACACAAATCTCATCGTGGTTTGATTTCTTTATGAGAGGTTATGACCGGGCTTATTACAGGTCTGTGACAGCCACCAAAACCGGATTGTTTTCCCTTTCTTCAGAGCATTGGATTTGCTGATTTTTGGTTTCAACAAATATAACAAAAATTGCCTACCTCAGCTTTAATTATTTTAAATCACCACACAGACACCATTAGCAGTATGGATATTTACGTTATGAGAAATGCAATATTTCTATACATGTATTGATCTGTACATACTGTATAGTGTAAAGCAAACAACAAGCTACTCTCTGCCTAACAAAATATGGACATGACAGCACAGATATGCTCCTATTTTAAGCAATCCAGCTGTCAACAAAGGTTACAGTGAACATACTTTCAGCAACAGTGGAGTGGCAGAGCGCCCTCTCATAAACAAACTATGCAACAACAACACTCATAACATGATGGAAGGATCGGTCTCGATTTATCTGTTTGCTATTATCGATACGGCACGCCGATTTATCGGTTTGGTTACTACAGTGCTTGTGTGTTGGGCTCAGACGCTGTCTAAATGTGAGTGGACTACGCTCCCCGAATGCATCCTGGAGCGAAAGTGAAAGTGAAAAGAAAATGTCTAATATCACCTGTGGTCTCTCTCCAGAGCTCATACCTGTTTCAACCGGCTGGATCTGCCACCGTACCCGTCCTTCTCAATGCTGTATGAGAAGATGCTGACCGCAGTGGAGGAGACCAGCACCTTTGGGCTGGAATGAGAATCTCTTCTGTCCACCTACCTAATTCACAGCTACCCTCAAGCTTGAAAGCCGCCTTTAGTTACCCCTCAAGGACTGCTGGTGGTAGTAAAGAGAGGAAGCCATGTCAGAAGCTGAACATGGGTTCAAAAAGCTGTATCCAATTTATGGTTTGTGTTTAATTTATAATTTTATAACAGGGGCTGAAAAGACCATTTGAAATGTCCCGTGTACAGAAGTAAACGCTTATTTCGCACCTGTTTAGTAACGCACACTATCACCTGCGTGATGCGACGAATAAAGACTCTCACTGCCTTTGGGACCAGAATCGTAACTGCCAGGATTTGACCAATCAGATGGGTTTTTCTTTTTCACTTTCTCTTTGATACCAGGAGGTAAAATTTTAAGATGTACACTACACATCAAAGGAGAAGCGACTACTGCCTTCACTGCAAAAGCTGAGTGGCCTCTTTTACTCTGGCTTGGATGGACCTTGAAGGATTTTAAGGCCTGCCCAGAACTGTGAGCTTTAGTGACGCCGTCATTGTAGTACAGTGTCTCCTTGTGGCCTGTTGCTGTAACTGCACTCATGTACATTTTGTTTCTCAAAGCCTTTTTCGAGGGCCGCCTGAGGTAACTTTTGATAAAGTTTGTGGGATTTTCCAGTGAACTTCTACAGCTGATTTTGCTGATCCTTGGCCAGACAGAAGCTTTGATATTGTTATTACAGTGATTTTCTAATGATGTGGCAGTTATATGTGGATGATTTGAATGTAAGTAACTTTATGATTTAGATTATGTGGGGGGGGGGTTGTACCCGATCTGGATCAATTGGCAAAAAATATTTGCTCAGTAAAAGAAGTTAAAAATAGCTAGATAGTAGAAAATAGCTTTGATCCAGGTTTGTTTTCTAAAGTTTGTAGTCTACACTCAAAATGTGTAGATTGAAAGACAATTCTATATCGAAATAGTCCAAGGAAATTAAATATTCACACACCAGTGGCAGATCTAGAGCATTTTAGATGGGGAGGCAAAGGGGTGGCATGGGAGGGGAAAGGGTGGGGGTCCCCACATGAAAACTCATGCTCCTTCTGCAGGTAAATATCTAAGGGGTGTGCACTTTACCCCCCTTCCTTTGTATTTTCTATCTATGCTCTGATCTCTAAGAAGTTCTTGGTTAAAAGTCATAAGCTACAATCAATCAATCAATGAACATTTAACAGGGAATGATTTGTAGAGTACCCAATCTCATCATGGCTAAAATATTTCCAGTCAGATATGGACGCATGGTCAAGTCCTGTTAGCGTCAGTTTGTAATGCACCGGGGAGCCCCTTAGTGTCAGAGATTATCAGTTTTATTTCGAAAGTCTAACGGGACGTTGCATATTTATTGTTGTTAACTTGACCCCAGAGCCCTACATGTCAAAAAACAACACGTAAGGGGTACCCAGGGCGTTAAAAAGCACGGTCAAGGGGTCTTGACCAAGGTCTGCACAGATTCACGTGCTTATATTAACAGATGGATGATAGGGGAAGAACACTATATATTTACTAGTTAATTAAATTAAAAAACTGACTGAACATTCCCTAAATATCTAAATTTACTATGTATTGCACTGTGTTTGCTGTCCAGCATTTTATTTAAGTTTTTGAGTGTGAAGTGTATGCCTTATACAGGGCCCACAAAATTCCAGCAATTGAATGGGGGGGGGGAAAGTCCAGTCCATAGCATGTACACTTCTCTCTTTTTGATGCAAAGGGAAGCGATGATTAATAATATTGAGATTTTGAATACTAATGATTAACTGCTCACTAAACTTCTGAGTGTAGGGAGCAGTGAATGACGTGGTTAATCAGAGGATTACCAAAGTTATTACCATTCATCCTGAGGGGAACAATTATCTGAACCAAATTCCATCCAATAGTTCAGATATTTTAGTTTGGACAAAAGCGGTTAACCCCCTGATAATGGCGTCTTAAAACTAAGGGCTTTGCATTAATTTGCAAATTAATGTTGATCTAACGCTACAATAATGAGCGTGGATTTTCTCTGTATTCTTTGCCTGTTTCAGTGATTAAGGAGGTAGTGGTGACAGAAGATTACTTTACAATTACAACCCCCCCCCCCCCCCCCCCCCCCCCCCGCCTCCCTCTAGATCAGCCCCTGTTGTGCAACACCAGTTGTACTTATAGAAAAGGGTTCTGAGACATTCAATAATATATCAACTGGCATAAAAATGCTGCTGCATAATCACTGTTGCTCCTTATTATTATTATTATTAACATCATTTTTATTGTTATGGGCTTGTTATTCACTTTACACACTATGACTAAGAGCTCCAAATGATGGAGTTTTCTCTTTTTTTCTTTGCTCTTTCTACACTTGTGTTGTTGTCCACATCAGTGAATTTGATTATACATGCTGTATGTAAACTCTGACCTGACGAGTTGAACTCTGACAAAGTTTAATAGCACCTCTAGATTTGCACTCATTTCAATATTGAATGACTTGTATCAACTCAATGTTAATGTTTATGTTAATTTAATCATGTTGTTTTGTGGAATTCACATGGAGAGCTCCCACAGTAAACCGTAAAAACCATACGGTCCTCACAATAGAAAAGCATGAACATTTTGTATAAAGTACATTTTGAAGGAGCTTGCATTGAATATTTTCTCTTTTGTACATGTAGATACTTCCTTCCACACGTCCTCTTCACTCACATTTCCCCCTGCACTATGAATGTAAGCACACCTTGAACTGCCACACATAAATACAACTGTCCACGTGCAGGCCTACAACATAAAACCCTTCTGAATGCCTCATTTTAGACACACAGCGAAATCCAGATTATGTGGAAGCCTATTTCGGCCAAGAAAAATTAAAAATAAATGTATGAAAAGTTAAGCCTTGTTCTGAAATTCTTGCAGCAGGTAATTTTCTCTTATTTCTACTAAGAATCCCTCCTGGTACACAATATTTATCTTCCCTACAAGGTCATCTTTAACTGGCCTAAATCTGAACAGCCAATCTGCTGGATGTTAGACTCAAATGCATTACGATGAAATCTGGAAGTGCAACGTTGCACAATTACTATCTCTTAATTTTGCCATAGTATCTCGTAATTTTTCCTTAGGATAAGATTTTGTCTTGTCCTGAGAATTATTAATTTAGTCTTTCATTCATCTATTTATTTTTATTTTTCTGGCGGAAATGGGCTTCCATACGACCAAAGTTACTACAGATTGCTACAGACTCCTTTTTATGTGTGTTAACCATATACAAAAAACTTTAAAACCACTGTTGTCATTTTAAACAGATTTTGATAAAGTCCTGGACCTACTGTTTTCCTTGTTTACACTTTTAGAGAATGTACTCGAATCCAGAATACAAACATTACATTATTTCTGCATGAAGTTAACATCTTGGGTAAACTTTCATGTGCAAATTCAAATGAGATCAAATTATTCCATTCTCATCAATAATTATATTATTTCCCTCGCTGAATGCACTGCCCTCTGTCTGTCTAACCAGAATGTACCAAAGCTCACATCTTACAACCAACCACTCTTGATCCTGTACAGTCCACCTCACTTTTAAATATGAATGTTTGTCAGACTTCCTCTCCTAAAATAAAATACCGTCTCTCTATGCAAGCTGTTTCCTCTTCTTTCTGTGTCACTTTGACTGTAACTGAACAAACGGAGCAGGATAATAAATGGAAGTGAATATTTGTGTCCTGTCTTTTTTTTACTCTTGGGAACAGAGTTTCTCTCATATGTTATATTTCCAGGTCTAATGGTTATTTATTGACATGATCATTGTCTTTACTGATATGATATGTTGTAAAAAATGTTTTTCTACATGTTTGTACCCCTTATAGTGGACCTTATCCAAATGATTATGTAGCCTATACTTGAAAATTAAAATGTAATTGTAACACCCCCCTCTGTACTCCCTAGTTAGCGCAGTCTGGATTCCCCCTTTGTATAAATGAAATTGGATTCCTCCACTCCCTGTTTGACAGTCTGCCCTTTTACCTGGATGTATCAAGGATGGAAGCACATGCTACAAACATTTGGGTAACTGCGTTGGATAGCAATGAATTTGAATGTATAAATGAATGAGATTTAATCTGTCTGTGTAGGACGCTGTTCTGAAAATAGTTAGCAACAAGAAATGTTAATGATGTTTGAGAAAGGTGTTGTAATTGACAATAAAACAACAACACAACAAATATTAAAAAACAAATATACATTATTTACAGACACACTGTGGATATTTCCAATAGTTAAAATAAAGATCATTCAGGGTTCAGAGAGCAGCTTTTAGGAGCCGATCCACGAATGAGGGACTGATGATTGTGCATTTGTATCAATATGTTTCATGTTCTTCTACAGATTTCCTTCTACAATCCCGCAGCAGCCTTTCCCTCAGACCATGTGAGTAAAGTTACAAACTTTTTCAGCAGAGCAAAAAATAAACCCACAACTTGGTATTATATTGATTGATTGTTTAAACTGACATTACTACGCTACATGTTACTTGTACATTATTATACCTGTACTCCTTACTCACCTACATTTGATATCTTTAGGTAATTTGCCAATTCTTAATACAAACATATATTAACAATTACATTATGATAATTTAGGTTAAGATAACCAGAGTATTTTTACACTGTGGTTTTGCTACTTTTGCTTACGTAAAAGTTCTGAGTACTTCTTCCTCACTCATTTACATTTAAATACACTGTGTTGCTTTGTTTGCCACTTAATGCTGCAGAAATCAGATGTTTTCATGATGTTGAATGTTTTATTGTTTAAGTCTTTAGCTTGTATTTATTGTTGCTTGTATTTTCTTTACAAAATGTTATCATAGATGTTTAAAACTGCTTAATCACATCATTGCTGCTGCTGTCTCCTCCAGGCTGTTGGGACATGACTTGAAAACTTGGTACTGGACGCAGAAACTTCTTCCAGTATTCATGATGTTACAACTGACACAATAAAGGGACAGTGTTTGTTTTCTGTTCCATAACCCCCTGCTTCTATCTCTCCGAAACACCGGGAGGGGGACACGGCCCCCTCCCTCTCCCGCAGGATCGGCTTCAGGTACCGGCGACAGGCAGGATTTGAACCACCGCTGCACCGTTGGTGCCTTGCAGTCGCCATCGAACCCCACCGCGCCACCAAGTCCCCTTCGCATTTGAACTTTTTCTCCAGGCGCTTTTATCTTCTCACTTTGGGTGTTAGACCTCAAAATTCACTTATAAGGATCAAACCCACAACCTCAGAACTTCTGACCAGTCTTCTAACACGCTGAGCTATTTGATCTGAGACACTGAACCTCTCTTTCTTAGAGCTTTTTACTTCTTTGTGGACATCTGACTCTAAAAGTCATTAATAAGGGAAAGGATCAAACCCACATCCTCAGAACACCTCAAGAGGTATTTAACACCCTGAGGCACTGGGTCAGACAGGCTGAACTTAACATTACGTAAGCTTTTCAGTCTTTCATCTGTGTGTTGGACCTCAAAATTAATAAGGCCATATAAGGATTGAACCCACAACCTCAGAACTTCTGACCAGGCTTCCAACACACTGAGCTATTTAATCTAAGACACTAAACCTTTCTTTCTCAGAGCTTTTCACTTCTTCCTTAGAACATCCAACTTCTAAAATCACTGGCGCCTCCAAACACCTGCTAAGGCATCTAAACCCCCTGAGCCACTGGGCAAGAGATCTTGCGCCAAAAATTTTAAAGGTCTTTAGGCTTTCTGTTGTGTTGTACAAAAAATAACACTTCGCTAGATTACTCGAGGATCAGACCTACAACCTAATCAATACTCCTGGAGCACCTGAAGCTGTGAAGAAGTGTCCTTTTTAAAGCTTTTCATTTCTGGTGAAAAGTTTTTGATACTAGGATGATCTCAAGTAAGTATATTTATAGGATCAGCAAGTTTCTTCAAAAATAAACAAAATACAGCTAATGATACACTAACTTAGATAAAAGTGCTACAGGAAATGCAAAGATGTTTACATTTTTCCAGAAACATAAAATCATACTTTTATACTTTAGTTTAAAGTTCACATTTAATTAAGAAGAGGCACACGTACACAAAGTGACAGATGATGTTGAAACTTAATTTAAGCCCCAGTATGACTGGATTTGCTTCTCCAGGGGAGGAGGGGAGATTTTTATCGTGTGTGGAGCGTGTACAGTATGTTGGTCATTTTTCAACCCAATCAGAAATAATTACCAGCTGTTTATCTGGGTATCTCGCAGTTATTTTCTGGATAAAAAGAGCTGCTTGTCCTTCCACTTTATTATTTATTTCATTTTTTAATGTAAGAATTTGACTTGTGTGTGTGGCCTTATACTTTTTACTTTATATTTGTGCACTCTAGAAATAAACTTACTACTTAAACTACCTACTGTTTGGAAACCAGAATGACGACAGAAAAAAATATGCATCTTCTATCTCTGCTTTCTCAGCAGATTTGTTGACGTGTATTCATGATGGACATCAGAGATAATGACATCCTGTTTAAGTGCATGTCACACAGTAACCTCCCTCCCCCTCAACTCTACGGCGCCTAACCGTGCTTTATGCAGTCCAAATGTGGCTTTCATCGCTCCAAGTTAAAAGACGACTTTCAAGGCCCACAACACGACTTAGCGTTGCATTATCAACTGAGATTTAATGACCTCTAAAGAAACGAAAAAGAGCAGAGTGAAGACGCTCTAAGAAGTTAAGGCTGCTCCTAAAGGTCCTGTCTGTATAAAATGGGATTCAGGTTGGTCACGTCCACTTTAGGTCAAATGCTGTTTCCATTTTCATTTTAACATGGTCCTAGAATGCCCACGTTTCATGTGAACATGAAAACTGTATTACTGTATTTTCATTTACAATTTTACTTAAATAATACATATGAGGAAAATGATCATGCTATTATGGAATTACATTTTCAAGTCTTTGTTATTTGGTTAACGTCCACGATATGCTTCCATATCGGTGTGCAGCACACGCCAAATGAATTTTATTTTGCTTGTAAAAATACAGCTGAACAAAGACTCATGCTTTCAGTTTTTATTGGGCTTTTAACAGGGTCACACAGTGTCTCCCAGTCCAGGTGGAGTCTTATTTGTTGCAGCTGTCCCAGTTGCAGCAGTTGACCATCAGACCCTGAGTGAGTGCCAGCTTCAGACACTCGCCCATCTTGAAGCAGGACTTGTGGAAAGTTTTCTCTGAGGAGAAAATGTGTGAAAAATTACATTTTAGTCTTTCGTTTGCTTTTTGTCTGCGTGTTTGTTAGAATGACTCAGCTTTTACCTCCTTCTGTTTGTGGGGTAAGTTTAAAAGTTTGGGGTTGTTTTACATCAATATTACACTCTTTTTTTATTAGCATTCAGCAACATGATGTGACAGGCAACCTAAGTTTTAATGGGAAGAGCAGTTTGTATAGCTTGATTCAACTTCTCAGGAAAACAAACCCTCCAGTGCAGAGGTGGAGAGATCTTAGAACACCGGTAATCAACAACACAACATAGTCATGCATAACTGTGTGTGCCTTTTAAGAATGAATCCAGGTGACTGAAGTTGGATTGAGAATTTCTACATTTTTGTATTACTGTGACATGGCAATAACAGTAATTCACAGGCAAATTAATATTAGCAAGGGAAAAAAAGCATAATGTCGGTTGTTTTCTGTAGCAATTTAAAGCCAAAATGTTGTAAAGCTGATTTAAAATGAATTAAATTGTAACATCAGTGAAAATGTTTTCTTTTGGTTTGTCTTTTGACGTGACTAGAATGAGAGGCACACTGTACTCACCATAAGGGGCGGGGTAGGCAATTTTGGCACAGGTGTCCATCTCTGGGGGACAGTTCTCCACCGTCTCCACACAATCTCCACTGTCAGGAGCCTCGCGGACACAGCTGACACACTGCAGGGCCTCACCTGCAATACAGTCACACAAACAGGTTGAGGACTGCTGATACAATATTGCTTGTGTCTAAAATGTCATGAATGCACAGCGAAAATGATCATCAGTACAATTCCTTCAATGAGTCAGTATTTACCGTAGGTGACTGCCACCAGGAGCAGGAGAGCAAAAGCAAAGACCTTCATTTTCTATTCTTCTGCTGACGTCTGCAGGGGAAATATATCAAATAAAGATAAATGAAGTCACCGTTTGAGACTTAGCTTCCACAGCCTGTCAGTTGCAGTTTGTGATCTTATTCCTTTAAATTATTATTTTACGCATGAAGTCATAGTGAACGATGTGAGCGACACTTACCTTCTGAATCTGTGCAAGTTGCTGTGCGCCTGTCGCCCGCCTCCTCTCTCCTTTTATACCTCTTCATCAGCCTGGCACATCACTGATAATGCTCACTGCTGTGGGAAAGGGCCCATATTGCTGGAAATATTTCAAGTACAATTTGTTTTTTCATGTCAATCAACTCATCGTTTCAGCAGCACTTGTATAAACGGTTGGGTTGTTTAATTTACTTTTAAAAACATAATTTATTACAAACTCTTAATGTGTTCAGTGTGTAAAAATCTATATTTGTGAAGTAATTAGTAATACGTAAAAAGGTACATGTAGTGAAGTAAAAAGTACAGTATTTCCCCCTGAGATGTGGTGGAGCTGAAGCAGAAACAGGCATTAAAATGGAATACTCAAGTAAAGTCCAAGTACCTCAGAATGTGTACTTAAGTACACACTCAAATACTTCCAAGCTGACATGGAGGATGTATAACAAAGAACATATATGTCTAATGCTGTCTGCTGTTAATCAAGGTAGAGAACAAGTAATCTATAAACTTAATTTCCTTTTGTAGAGCAACTTTATATTTAGATTAGAAAAATGAGCGTGTCAGGAGTTTTCCCACAGATGAACCAATGAAAGACAGCGTCTGAGGTCAGCAGCTGAATAATTTTCAGCATGTTCCAGCCTTTTTGATGGAACTGTTTAGTCTCTATGTTTTCCCAGAAATGACAAATATGTTGCCTCAAAGTGATGTCACTTTACTTTTAATACTACTTACTAGTAGTGCTACTACTAACTAATTAGTTTAAAAATCTAATTAATCATTACATTATTAAAGTATCACTAACAATACCCTCAGTTTATTGTTTAAATTACAATATTGATTTGCTTACTGAAAATAATGTGAATTTATAACCTTTCACATCTGATAAATTCACATTGAGACATTTTGCATGTCATAGAGGTAAATACATTCACATCTGGCTGAACTAATCCCCTCAAATAAGAAATAGAAATATAAAGTGTGGTGGTGAACTTGGGGGGCTTGGATTTATGACCGCTACGAGTTTATGACCCAGCAGAGATAAATGTCAGGTTATAATGTCGGCATTGTACACCTGTATGACTGTGGTTGGACTTCACAAGCCACATGGCTGCGTTTGAGCCAATCGTCATGAAGCACACTTGATGCCAGTCAGCCTATAAAGCCAACGTCAGTGTTCTGCCAATGTCCTTGACCTAAAGATGTTGGGTCAACATCAGTAAAAAGGATCCATTAATTAAATATCCTGATTTTACATTCTGCAGAAATGATTTCTTGGCTTTCCCTGTGTAATATATGTCTTAAAATTAAAACCATAGATGGAGCTGCAGCTAAGGAGCCCATAGTTGTCACCACACCACACATCAACTATACGGCCTCAGACAGGGACGCTGTGCAATACTGCAGTAATCTGCTGAGTCAGCAGCTCCCGGTCAGGCTGTGAATGCAGCAGGTGCACGTCAGGTCAGCAGGTACATGGATTACTCATTACATCTTACCTGACAAACCAGAATACTTGATATCACAAGTATACTCTGTTGCAAAAAGATAAGAAGCAGAGTCTTCCAGAACCCCCACCCGCACCCCCTCTATATCAAATTTAGAGAGTAGCTTATGATTATGATCTGATATGTTAGGATTTTTTTCGTATTGATTTATCGTGTGCGTGTATTGTGAAAATCATGTTAGTATAAAAATATGTGAGAACTCATCACAGTAAGTTTTCATTCACCATTTCTTTATTGTTTGCACACATTGATATTACAGTATTTCACCATTATATCATACATATATGAGACTAGGATCCACAACATATCAAAAGTAAAGGATGAAAAAAAAGAGATAAGAAAATAAGATCACTAAGTATCAAATAAATCTGCATGAAAACCAGATAATTTCTCCCACAGAGAAATATTGTTCACCGTCACCATGAAAACAGTTACAGTACAAAGATCCATAGATTAGACAGGGCTGTAATCGATAAGCAGAGTTGAGGAGAAACAAGTGAACAAGAGAAATTAAATAAAACAGAAATTATACTTTGTGGTAATGAGTGTAAAAATTAAAGATACTGTAAAACGGTTGGCACCTAGTCGGATTATATAGTGGAGACAGAATTTGGTTGTGTAACATTTTTACACATCTGTGACTGATCCTAGATGTACAAGGATGGTCATCATTTAAATACATTTGAGAGCGATACATTATTAATTGAATTGACTGGATATTGTAGAAATATAGAGACATATGTAGCCTTAAAATAAAAGCCAAACATAAATATGAAAGTGATGAGGCGGTTTCTCACGAGATTTGTAAATTATAATAAAAGGAGGATAAGGGCCATGCTGAAATTTAAAATAAGTCTGAGATGAATCTGATCATCCTGAGATTTAAGACAGATATGATTTGTAAAAAGTCAAAGATTAAATTTAAAAATTATCTGATTTAAATCTCACAATTTTGCATTTAATTTCAGAAATCAGATTTTAATCTGAGTAGTTACGGATTTCGTACTAATGAGGTTATATTTCTCAAGCCTGCAATCATCCATTACAGCTGAGCTGTGTTCAACAAGTCAAGTTTGGATGGAAGCTCCATTGTTCCCTTTGTGTTTTCCATTCAGCCTGTTAACGTGCCGTTTTGAACACTGTCAAACAGACAAAACACCAAAGCTTTGTTGAACGCACCTTGTGTCGTTTTAATCTATGGCAGAAGGGGCACACTGGCACTTTGATGGCTAATCACATGATCACTTGGGGGGAAACAAATAAGGCACGAGCACTCATACACACTTGCATACTATTGTTGTCAAATTAGTATCTCCAAAATGTAAATTTTGAGCTACAAAAACTGCCCTGGTTCATTATTTTGGTTGTTTTTTAAATGAGGTTTTGAATGTGTGTTTTGAGAGAATGGTTGTACAATTTTGTCAACCTAAAGAGATCATTTTTCTCTTTATGTCAAATAATAAAAATCCCCAAAAATGGAGTTACCATGTTTTTTTCACCTGACAACAATAATACACACCCACACACACACACCCAGGCACTCACAAAACACCTCAACTGACAGGAGCCCTAGTTTAAAAATGTTGAATTATATATTTAAACCCCAGCAGTTAGACATAATTTGTCTACTCAAACGTGCAGGGTCCAGCTGAGTTAGCATTTACACACAAACACACACACACACACCCATATATATTTACACACACCAATATAGCATGTCAGTTACCACGGCATTGACATGACTGGGATTTACAACAAGTAAACATTTGAGATTTTTTTGCTTTCAGCTTCAGTCAAACTACCTCTGATCTTTTGGTGCTTTTCGGTCACATAATATTAAGAATCATAGCAACATTACAACAAATATTTACCTATACTGCTAGTACTTTGGCCATTTACAAAAATAAAAGACAACTGATTCAACAGCACAGTATGGCCTCGAGTCTTTTTATGAACTGCATGATTACAGAAAGGAGACTCAACTGATCAGGGCCACGAAGGTCAAACAGGTAACTTCCAGCAAAAGCTCATATTTAACACATCATACCTGTTAACAACTATAGGTCAAAAGTACACTAAGGAATTACAAGTGATCAATACATGAAAGAAAATGAGTGAAGAACAGTCTGACATGAAATGTAGCAGGAAACTGCTAGCCTCTGAAAGCAGATTCAATTTAAACAGCCTCTTTCTTTTAGCTTGATTTAAACCCTAGTTCACAGGAAGCTGTTAGTGTGGGCAGATGATTTAGCTACAGTCTACGGGGAGCTTTAACAACGTTTCTCCAAACAAATCTAAGATTTGAGACAAGGCAGAACAAAATAAACACAATTTTGGGAAGCAGTAATGTTTTTTCTTCAGACCTATCTTGTGACGCCAACCTCCAGTTGGGAACCACTGCCTTAAGCTACATGTGTGCTGTAAATCCACTCAGAGGTGGGACAAAGATTTTGTTTTGCAAGTCACAAGTGAGCCCAAGTCAAGTCAAAGTCTTACACTTTTCGAGTCTATAAACACACACACAACTGTCATTATTTGCCTGTCTGCTGCTCTGCAATGACAAACATCTTTCTCTCCCGCTCAAGCTACCCGATTGGCTGCTATCCGATTATTTAAATGTGTATCTGTTGGCAGACAAATTAAGAACTGATCGGCTGGCGCTATTTAATAACATAATGTTTAATATTTGGGCTTAGGGAGGATACCAAAGTCATTCCAAGGCAAAAGGCTTAAGTCTAAGTCACGAGTCAAAGTCGAGATGCAAGTCTTTTTGTTTTTGTCCACACCTGTGACATAGTTTCCACATTGTCGTTTTATTATTATACTCAATGAATAATCAATACAGCCATGGAACTGTAGCAAGAAGGATAATCCACTCTGTGTGGATGTAAATAATGTATGAAGCCCCTGTGAGTTATATTTTTTTAGAACTGCACAGCTTGTTATGGATTATCCTTCACTAACAGACCAGAGGACCCCCAGAAACAATCGTACAACTTGGTCAAACTCCATTAATGGCACGGCATCAACCAAAATATAATTAAACTAAAGACATTTTTTTATATATATGTATATATATATATATATATATAAAAAAACTTGTGTCACATCAGTATTAGTACTTGTTTATGCTATATGTGGGAGGAATCTAAATAAATAAAAAGAGCTGATGCCTTCTGTAAAGGACCGGTGGAGTGAGAGCACACAGAAGCCGGACTAATCTTCACCCCATGTATGTTTTAACAAGCAGTTCAGGCCGGTTTTGGTGAGGTTGTGAAAAGAAAAAATCTATATATAAAAATATAAAAATGTGTAAAACTTTTTCAATAGAACATAATGAAATCCATCATTTAACAAAAAAGAAAACCTAGGCTAGGCCCTTGGCTATTGGCCAGCTAGCAGCACGCTTCGAGCAGGTCTGCGTCTGAACTGAAGACTGATGATCACTTTTGTTAGCAGGTTAGCATGCTGCTAACCCACATGCACTTACTATGCTAACATAAGTTAGCACAGAGGCCTGGTCTATTCTGACAGAAACTTCAATGTTGTTTGGTCAGTGCGCAACCATTAGGATTAGCACCGTGACACAAACTGAGGGATCCAGAACCCGTCCAGAAGTGATGCCACATGGCTTAACGGGATGGCCGGAGTGAATGAAAACAAATGAAAACTACCAAACACTCACTCATAGATCTACTAACAGCAGAATTTGACTTGGCTAAATCAAGACTGTCTCAATAAGCAGGGATTTTAAGACATTTTTCACTGTAGCCCGATTTTGTGATGACACTGATTAGAGTCATGTTTTTACATCTTGCCACGTCCATGACACAAAATCCACACCGGGCGCATAGAGAGCTAAGTCAACGAACCTCAATGCTTTCAGCCGACCAATAAAGGAAACACTGGAAGACATGATTGTGTTGTTGTACTGATGGAAGTAGTGTTTTTTAAAAATGTACATAAGATGAAATTTATGAAGACAACATGGAAACATGGAGGAAGTGTTATTCCCATTAACTTGGAAAATAAAGACTTGGTTGAGGTAAATAAAGGCTCTAATCACCTGCTGGACTGTTGTGCATCTTTCTGTTGTGCTTCTAAATAATAGAGCTCACTGGACGGAGAGGTGTCAGCTGTTTATCCTGTACCATTAAAAAAAACCAAAAAAAAAAACAGCTACTTTGACGATTATAATGACAATGGAATTAATTCAATTATAATGTTGTGACAGGGTAAAAAGTCCCGAGACACTATTAGCAATACAATATTAAAGTCAAATACAGTAAGGAGAGAGCCATAAACAATCATACATAAACTATGAGGATATTTAACAGTATATTATAGAGCTGAAAGTCCTCAGTCTGAAACCTAAACCGGGTCAAGCACTTATTTTATCCACATGCCCAGCTGTGTTTAGGTCCTTACTAACACTTTATGATCTGCTGGTAGAATTACACAGCCTCTACTCTCCTGCTTACTTTAATTACAGCATTTTATAGATTGTCCACAACGTTTGGAAATTAACCTGAGACTTTCATGGAGACGCAAACTCACTCCTCCACTCTCTTCATCACTCCTCGCTTTAGTTTGGGGACGTTTGGTAAATGCACTGCTGCCTTATCTGTAGTTGTTGTTTTTTTTCAATATCACCCTGCTCTCTCTGGGTCTTTCTGTGAAAGCTGGAGGTCATTTTTCTTTTCTTTTTTTTTTTTTGGCACAACATAGAAAACAGCAGAGAGACTACAGCACAGCACAGATATACAGAGAAAGACTGCGGACATCTAACTGCTATTAATCTCTCTATTGAGATAAAAGATGACAGCCAGACTGTGTTCAGGTGGGGCCTGAGACACACTTAAATACAGATATAAACACATGCAGTTAGGACTGGAGTTTTGAAGGGTTGGATGGGTGTGATGGGATGGTGGAGGAGTCAGAAATGTATTATGTGACAGAATGGCAGGTGTGAGACTAACCCTGCTTTTACACTGGGACCAACGTGATTAATAAATATTAACGTCCTGAAAGATTCACTTCCTGGTTACGTTACGGCACGTTATAGAGCACTGAAGTGTTGTTTCACATTTCACTTCAGAATTCAGTCTGTTGTGTTTTCTGATGGGGAGAAGCTGAGTGGCGCAGACATGACATGAAACCCAAAGTACTGGTCGATAAGTGGGAATATGTCAATATGTCGTTCGGTTTACTCAGCTTCAAGACAAAGTTTTGGCAAAGTTTGACAGTTTGGCAACATCGGCATATCGTCAGCGTGAGAGAATCACAGAATTTGGTGGCACAAAAAAGGGAGTGGACCTTTCAACCTTTATTTTGTTTATAACTACTACTAGACTATTAGTATGTGTCAGGTAGCTCTGTTGACTGGATAAAAGGCAAGGCTTTGACACTGCCTCCATCTACAGGGGTTAAATCTGCGCCTTTGGTCTCCACAGTCAGGTCAAAGTGACCCAGTGTGAACTTTGTGTGGGATTTTGTGCTAGAACTTGTTTATAGAGAGGTGTTTGGCTCCTGTCAAATGTATGTACCATCTCCCTCCACATCTGCGTCATGCCTGGAGTCACATGGCCAGAAGCTAGCAGCAGTCCAGACCACTTTACGTAACAGCAAGACACGCCTGATGGGCCAATCAGGATGTAAAGACTGAAGGGGAGACTAAATGAAATGCAGTTGGTCCACAGGAGCTTTTTAAAGTGCATGGAATTTTAATGGAAAAGCAGATGAAATGGTCTTGTCTAAGTGCTGTAGGCGGAGAAGTACCCTGATGAAGCTCCTGATAGAACAGGAGCAGGTGGACTAAATGCTGTAAGGGAAGGGGGGGGGTCTCAGTGGTGTTTCTGACGGGAAGAGAAAGGCGGGATTTAGGTAAAGACCAGATGCTGCTGGTCCAGCAAGATTCTGGTGAAGTTGTTGATTGGCCCAATGGCGCTGAGTGACATGGCGTTGTCCCGCCCCCAGAGCAAGTTCGGACCAAACACAACAGCCAGGTTACTGTTGGTCATCTTATTCACATCACTGTTGGCAGATACCTAAACACAAACAGGAGACTGTTGGTAACAGACCGATTTAAATGTTTTCGCAGGTATCTAGTGGGTTGTGTAGTTTATCAGCTGTACCTGTGCCAGGAATGTGATGAGGTATCGCAGTGAATCGTAGTTTTCCTCTGGCAGCGACTCTACCAGTGCCTTCATGACTTCCGCCTGGCCGTCACCGGATACAGCTGCATCACACCAAACACAAACACCATCATTTAGGACGTAGACGCTAGAGACGCAGAACATTTACATGTGCACGAGAACCCATGTTGCTGAGAGAAATCAGGTGTTAAAAAGTTTGATTTTTGTATGTATAATTATTTTAACAAAAAGGAAGGAGACTGACACTGATTCAAGAGCTTTGTTTGTAAACTGGATGTTTCTTTTGACTGAGTAGTGGTAGTTTATAGAAAAATGAGAGTTCTTTAAGTCTTAAGATAAAAATAGTAATGATTGTTTGAGCATACAGGTGAAGTTGACAATGTCATTGTAGAGCTGGTAGGTCAGCAGAGGCTCAGGTAGTTCCCTCAGGAACGTCTTCAGAATCACAGCGGCCAAGTGGACGTCTTCCAGCTCTCTGAAATTCACCGTCTCACCTACAGAACACACACACAGACATGACAATAAGAAAAGAAACTCCATCCAAAAATGTATTATTATTATAATTATTATTATTAGTAGTAGTAGAAGTAATAATAATACTAATAATACATTTTATTTCTATAGCGCTTTTCTGGACACTCAAAGACACTTTACAGGTAAAAGCAGAAGTTATGTACATTTAAAACCGATTAAAAACATAAATAGCATAATATAAAATATACAAACAGTAGATAAAAACATGTGTAAAAGCAGGTGTAAAATAACAATATTTGATGTTAAAAGCTAGTCTAAAAAGGTGGATGTGATTTGAAATAGTACATATATCAAGCATCATTATTATTATTATTATTATTATTATTAAGTCCATCATAACCAAAAATCCAGTGTGCTCATTTGTAAGGTTTATTTGCAAGGTCTTTCCTGTAAATACAATGTTGAAGGTTTACAAGAAATATGTAATTGATCGAATTTGCATATGCACATGTTAGTAATCTGCTTTGATATATGGCACACAACATTTCTTTCTGCACAGAAACTCACCATCGCCATCAACACCAGCAAATGGATTGCGTCAGAGTTGTTGTATTAGAGACCATCAAGAGGGGCGGTTGTGGCTTAGAGGTAGAACGTATCGCCCACCGCTCAAAAAATCGGCGGCAAATCACATGGACACATTAGCGGGTGTCATGCTGAAGTGTCCTTGGGCAGGATACTGAACAATTACTAAACCACATCATGTTAAAACTGACTGGTCATATTTCTGGTTTATGAAACACATCTTTAAACCCAACCGTGTAATATATTATTTACATTTTATTGATAATAATGTGAAATAATCAGCTTGTTGCAGAGTAATAAGTGTGCAATAAACGTTGATATTAACGCTGTATGTTAGGGTTTTTTTACCCCTATAGTTCGTTTGCTCGGGTCCGAATCTGTTGATGAGTTTTGTAAACTTCTCTTTGGTTTGGTTTCTTTTCAACACAAAGAAAAATCCAAGCGAACCAAAATGCATCACTACAAACCACAGGAGAACGTTCGCCAGGTGAGATGTGTCTCGAAAGAAACGAGAAAATATCTAGAGGAAGAAGTCCAGTGTTCTGGAGTAGTGCATATTTAGTGCGAGAAACATGGAGCAACAGCACATTTGGCATTTTTCTCATAACCGTGGTAATTTTCTGGGCAACATACCAGGCCGGTAGAATGTCAAATACACTTCAAGGGAAACTTCTTGAAACAACTGCACTGCTTTCATTTCATAGTTTTCACGTGACGTCACATTCCAAGGAAAACGCTCCCATGCAGGGCAAACAAGACGTTAATTTCCGCTGCCCGTCAACCAGGAAGCAAGTGATGCACTGTTACTTTGAGTTTGTTACTTTTGCGTTGCCAAAATGCTGGACGGTTGTTGTGCTTTCAGACGCACTAATCGACGAGCCTGAGATGGTGTTAGGTGAGGGATTCCCTAGAAGATAAACGTAAACATTACCACAGCCGAGCGCTGGCAGGGACCTGGCGGGTTTTAACGGCGAAAATATGGCAGCGGGTGCTGTATATGGATCGCAAGTGCCCAACACTTGCAGTTTGTGTCTATATCTATCTTTTTCTTTTGTTTTGCCCTCCAGGTCACCGCGCATGTCACGTGACTGAAAACCATGACTAGACTGGTTAAACAGGCCTGTTGATCCTACCTGAGTTGTATCTGAGCTGGACGTCCTTCACCAGAGTCACATTGGCAGACCGTCTGAAAATCCCCTCGATCTCCAAACCTGACACACACGGTGAAGAGCAACAAAACAGTTCTTAGTGAGAGAACAATTAATGAGTGAACTACAGTCAAAGCTCAGTAGTGCATAATGTTTGTGTTTCTACCGTGACAAGAAGAGTTACCTTGCTCTAACAGGAAGGTAATGGTGTCCCTCATCACCACAGGAACTGAATCACCGTCACTCCTCTGTCTGAGCCTGACACACACACAGTGTTTAGGATAACAAGCTTAGACCAAAGGTTCAATACAGCCAGCGTTATTATGAGTTGACTGGGGCTTTAATACAGCAGCATACCAAAGACAGACAGGCCAGCAGAGATTTAGAAACTTACAGTTTGAGCGGCACCCCAAACACCTGGCCCGGGAGCGGAGGGCTGTGAAGAGGAGACGTGGGAGGCTGGGCAGTCGGCTTTATTGACGCTCTCAGCTTGTTGTCGTACCTGACACAGAGACGGTGTTAGATTATCAGCTGCTGAGGATTTTGAAAGAGTAAATATAAAAGTAAACTAATTGTTCCTGAAGGAGAGTAAATGTGTTTAGGTTCAGATCATTTCTGGGTGGAAACGCATTATAGCAGGACAGAGGGGTAAAAATACAAATAATGAATGTAATACAACCAATACTTTTGCCACCGGAACATGTTAAAATGCAAGCAGGGTGTGCAAAATGGCAACAGTAGAATGCAACAGTAGAATGCAGTGGGAAATCAAAAGCAAATATCCATTGTGCATAATTTCAAAGTGGATTTTCTGGAACATAATCTGGAATCCGCTCTTACTCTTTGACACGGGCAGGAATGATGAGCTGCTCACACTTCACCACGTCTTCCAGTTCACTCAGATAGCTCACGTAGTTGATCTTCCTGCCAAACTTAAAACTACAAAGAGATAGACACAAAATTCAGCTTCTGTTATAGTATTGTTTGCTGCATTCACATTGTCAAACTATTACCCCACTAACAAACGTTATTACCAAGCTGTTATGTAAAGCGCTACCAACTTTTGAATGTGAGGCATGCTAACTTTAGCTTTTACTGTTAGCTGGAGTACCGCGTCACCTGAGTCAGTCTGTGCCGAGAGAAGAGGAGGTTACTTTCCAGTATCAAATCTTTGTGACAAGCATATGTAACTTATAGCAACTGAAAACCCAGTATGACATATCCAAAGACACAGATGTGCCAGTGGTGTTGTAGTTTTCCACAGCTGCCACTAGATGTTACTAGAGCCATGTCTTAAGGAATAAGGGATTTCATCAGTTATGTTAATTTACCCCCCAATCAATTTGAAATAAGTGTTCCTCATTTAATTTAAAGGCTTCATTAGAGAGAGGGTACAAACTTCTTGCAAACCACAGGATATCAAATATCATGTAAAAGTACTCACACCACTGTACATTTATCTCGGAAACATTAACCAAATGGACCAAGTACTACTGGTTTGCTTATCAGTGTTGCTCTGTGAGAAGTACAGTGCTGACACTGGAAACAGCAGGATTTTCCCACGAAGGACTAATTTGACCACAAAGCCCCACTGTGCCTCTCTCACAGTGACCGTTTTTATATCAGGTAGCACCCAAATGTCCAGCTTAACATAATTTGTGTCACACGTAGCAATTATCAATGGCCAACCACCTTTTGTTGAAAGATAAGGGGCTTGAAGAAGGGCTGGACAATCCCATGAAATTTGGGAATCCAATACCAAGTCATATCAGGGCCAGAAAGACCAGTATGGATGTACTTTTTATTATTAAAAGCACCTAATGTACTATCTTGTTTACTGAGTTTAATGCATCATTAATATGCTTCAGAATGCATTCACCACTGAGTGCTTTTGTTTTTACTATTCTCTGTTAATTACTTCATCACATGCAAGTTTTTAACGGTAAATAAATGTGGGAACACTATGAACTGACGAGGTGATAAGTGCGTGCATGCACACAACAGCAGCAGAGAAGCACTCTCATGTCATCCAATCCGAGCAACACGGGTTTCCATCCTCTACAAGACTTAGTATCTGTGGCATCTATTACACAAAGTATTCAATTCTGTCCCTCAAGACCTTTTTGCTAACTAATAAAACTGTTTAATATAAACGCCATTTAACCAGAAATTAATGATAATGTACAACAGCTTGTGTTTTGTATGTCCTAAATACCAATCCTGGAAAAGTCTGCTCACAAACCGATTTCTAAGCAAACACACCTACTGGGCCCATTTCATTAAAAGTAATTTTACCCTAGTTGGACTTTTGCAGAACGTGAAGATGAAAGATGAATTTAGGTGTGAAAATGCAAAGTTTTATTCAGCTAGTCATATTGTTCAGAGAACACACAACGTATACAACAACAATAATGGCTTATATTCTAAAAGCGTCAAGAAAACCTGGTTAAAATGTAGAAATGTCACATTAAATTATAGATAAATAAGGTGTACCACGTACAGTAATTTTACAAAAAACTAACCTGATGATCGGTTTGAAGAGGATCAGCAGAGTCTTGATGAACATGGTGGGGTGGACGATATACAGAGCCTTGATGTTCTTCTTGTACCTGAAACCACATGCAGATGATTAGTCTGTCGGCTGATTATTCCGGAGGCCGATGTGTCATCCGAAATGACAGCAGATCTAATCTAAAACATTGACTGGCTAGTGTTAAATAAATATTGTTATACTGTGGAGAATAATGCAGCTGAATCACATCACTTTAGACAAACTGTACCCCGCTCTACAAATAAATCTACAGCAGAACCCAATGTATTTTTCTGTTTCATTCATTAATAAAACCTCCATCTAAAACAGCGCGGCCATTACTACCTAAATAACATGTATATTAGATTGTAATGTGCATGCAATAATCAAATTATATATTTGTTTTTAGATGTCTAAGATTTTAGTGTCATTAACTTAAAAAAGAAAATCAAAAAGCAAGTTTACGTTTCTTCTAAAAGCATTTTGAACACTCCCACACAGGGAGGGTGCAGTGGACAAGGAGGTCAAGGCAAAAGAAAGTCCTGAGTATACTGAATTTTTGTTCTTACATTAATAACTCATTCATATAAGGAGACATGACTGTCATGACATGTCAAGTGGACTGATAATCCCCATAGATACTCAATTAATCAGTCTTAGTGCTCTATTTTAATCAAGCAAGAGCAACTATACCAAGTACCAAGTGACAAAATGTATCTTGGGCGCATGGACTGTGGGCGTATCCACCTGCTATTTCAGTTCATGTGTACACAAAAGCTGGGTGAAGTGGGTTATAAATCAGAGGGTGTGGTGATTAATAAATACACTCTCTGCCGGTCACATAACTAGTCTCATTGCTCTGAAACAGCTGACTCAATCACAAAAAGGAATGAGAACAACAGTTCAAAAATTAGGACACTGCCTCTCCAGGAAATCATCTGAAGAGTGCAGAGTAGCAAAACATGACCAGACGGGAACAAAAAAGGCAGATGGGGTCAGTGTTTTTAACAGTACAATGATTATAAATACTAATAAAATAGTTTGGTGAAGCAGTTCAAATGATCGCATCACTCTATTTCATCACACATTACATTGTAAATGGTTACATCATATCTTAAAATGAAAACGTCAGCATTTGCTTTTTATATTCCAACAATTTAACATGAACAGCTAAATTTAGTTTTTGTTTCGCAGTATTAATCAGCTCTGGTACTCTGACGTCTCCCGCATAAATAATCAGAATACAGGATTATACCCGACCAGTCCGACGTGTGTTTAGGTGTGTGTTGTCATCCTGTAGCAACGTGTCATTTGCATGTGATTTAATAAAGGTAAAAACAGCGGGCGGCCGCGTGTAATAGCGCTGCACTGCAGAGGATGCGGAATTATCAACACGTCTAATGTTTCTACGTCTAACGTGTAATATGTCTAATGAATTGAAGAAGAAGCTTTTCACAGAGTATAAAGCAGCTGCGGACAACAGACATTAACACATAAATCCAGACTGCTTAGCTGGCGTTCCTGCTTTAACCACATTAAACGCAGTCCCCTCCAGGATTTCTCAATCGCAACTCTTCACACAAATTCAACAAATCCTCCTTTTCTGCAAATTTGACATGTCATCGCCTTGTTCCTCAAAACATTGTCATACGTCACCTCCTTAGAAGAAGCAGCAGACGTGTGTGACACCAACGTCTCACATTTGCCTACAAAAGTAACAGCAAAGGGCCGCGAAGAACAGGATCCAGATCTCCTTTACGAGAGCGGTGGTAAACTGTTTTGCAAAACGTGCGGCATTGTGGTGAGGACAAAAAAAAAAGGAAATCGTCTATTGGCAAACACTTCGCCAACATATAACATACGCGGAGAGTGGCAGAAACGCATGGAGGACGTCAGACGAGACGAATCACTGTGACACAGGCTGTTGCATCCCGGTCAGCTAAAAAGGAAGCTGAAAGAATCAAGGTAAGCTGGTTTAAATATGTAGGGTTAGGATTAGGCCCGTGAAATCCTGGAGGGACTGCTTTTGATGACAATTTAAACCTCCCACTTCTTTGATCCTCTACTCCCACCTGTGATCCGTGCGCACCAAAATACCACACAGGTCAGGACTTCAAACCGGTCAGGAAATACAAAAACGGTCAAAGCGATGACTGCACTGTTTGTTTTAAACCGGCCTAAGTGAAGATTTCAGGTCTGATAGGATGATCAGTATTGAGCTTACTTTCTGTCAAACTCCCTGTACGCGTCTCGTAGCCAGCTGAGAGATGGTTTGTTTTCACTGGTCAGCCCGTGATGGAAATAGATCAGAGTGTAGTCACTTTCCACATACTGATCCAGTGTTCCTTTAAGGTACCTGAAAAAAAACATCAAACAAACTCATTTTCGTTTAAATAGACCATTGTGGTGTGTATATCCACTGGACTCCATGTTCTGATCCAGGTTTACAGAGGAACCACATTTATACCAACCATCTTAGTGATTCAGCATGTTAGAGCAGCTGTCAGGCCATATGGTGAAAAACATTTTGTTTCCTTTGTTGAAATACATTTAAAAACAGACAAAACCCAAACCCAATATAGTTCCCTTTTGAGACCTCTGAGAAACATCCCCTGCTTCATACTGAGCCATACGGATGTCTCCTGGTGAGCCTAAGACAGAGACAACGTAACCACAGTATCCCAGGTTTGATTGCAACCAATGCAGAAATGCATTTGAAGGTAGAGTCAAAGTAAACACGGACTCTGAATCCAGCACAACACTTCACAATACTTTGCAGCTGCCTCTTAGCACCACTTAATTTCCCAGTGGATGGCTTGTTCCCACCCACAGAGCTATCAACACACAAGCAGGAACATTTACAAAGCACACAATAGATACACAAGATGTAAGTGCAATACAAAGTGTCACAGCATGCGATAGAAATGTCATTCCCATGTTTCATATTTCAACAACAAGACTACAAGTGCGTTAGCAGCTCCTAGAGATGTGAAAAAATGCTGCATGGAAGAAAAAAAACAGACTGAATTTGATTGTTTCAAGTAGCCAGGTTAAAACGTTGAATTTGTGGGGTGATGATTACATATTTCTGTGGTCAAACTATTTCTATACTATTCATTTTACTATATAACATTTTGCCCATGAATGTGCTCATTAGATTTCGAGGCAATCTGCTCCTTAGATGTTGATTTCTCTTGTGTACAAATGTAAAATGTTGACCGGCACTAGAGAGAGTCATCTGAGGAGCATGTTCATCTACAGCTAAATTAACGAAAGTGCTGCCTTTTCATTTCAAGACACCAAGCACCAAAAGAGACTTCTTCTGGGAAACAGGAATATGTACAAACATTGCATGACAATTTGGTGAACAGTATCGTGACTGACTGACCATCCACAGCTCCCACGGATTGTGGGATAAAAAATTATTCTCAACTACAGCGCCTACTCAACTAAAGTGGACAGTTTGTTCTGCTTAGAAAATGACTCACTGACTGTTGTTGTTCGGTAATAAAAAAAAATCCTGCTCTGCTAGGACTCGATCAGTAAGTTCATTCTCACTCAAGGACCTCAGCATAACTTAGCCTGAATAGGCAATAAAATGTAGAAATGTAAATATTACACACACTTGGATGAGGAACCACTGTGGGGAGTGTTCTTCTCTTCTAAATAGAGAACATGTTGCCCTCTCAGTAAATGCTATTTCTCCTTAAATCATTAGTACTTACATCAGAAGCTTGTGATGGTCCAGCTGGTGGTGTGGAGGCATCCTGCAGGCATTAAACACGATCACCTTCCTGCCAAAGTTATCATCACCTGCAGACACACACAAACAGACAAGCAAGGATTCACCATTTTCTCTATTAAAATGGATTACTTTGATTAAATAAATATGCTCCTACTCTTGACAAGTAGTCAAGTTTAGTTTAAGAGAGAAGACAAACAGAGGTTTGCGATTGGGGGACTGACCTGCCACTTCAATAATCTGGTGCCTGGCAATGTCATAGAAGGGATGGTCCCAGGGCAGGTGGGGAGAGTCAGCGTCGAAGCGCTGGGAGAGGTCCGTCTCTGAAATAAACACACATATGCATGCCAATTTCATGTCTGTTTCACATCCAGCAGTGACATCACAGGGTCCTGGAGTACACCTGTACATCACTGCACCACGGTGAGAAGTTATGGGGAAGGGTTGGACCGACCCCTCACAAGTCTAGATGTTCACATGTGTGACTTTTAGTGCGAGTGTGTCCTTAAAAATCCCTCTCACCTGACTTGCAGAGTGTAGTCTCATCAGCGGGCCACTGCTGGTCCTCTATCGTGGCCAGCTTCAGCTGTTCCAACTGTGCCGTCGCAGGCTCTTCACCCAAATCCACCAGCAGCTCCGAAGACATCACACACACACGGCAGGAACGGCGCTACACGCACACACTCACACAAACTAGCACAATGATGTCTCGGACACCCACATACACACACACACAGACTTCCAGAGAGCAGCAGCCAGCGTCCTGTAAGGGAAGGAGACACTTCAGGTCAGCTGGGTTTCAAAACATTTCAACTACTGCTGAAACTATAGACAGATTTTTACAATTCATTAGAGAAAACTGGTTCCTGCTTTATAAAGCCTTGTTTTGATCACGTTCGACCCTGTTTAAGTTTTTAACGCTGTTAATACAAACACTTTCTGCATCTGCCTCAAAATAAAAACCCTCTCGCGTTTCAGTGGACAGAAACCCTTCATTCGTCAACAAGGCGTTTATTGTGAAACATCTGCAGGAACGTCTGTGGAAAACTCATCATTCATCGGCTCTTATTATGTTATCATCAGGGGCACGTGCAACACTAAGTGCATCACTGTTCAACTGCACTTCAGTTAGTCGGTGAGCGAACGCATCACCGGTCAAATGCACTTCTGCAGGTGCAGCAGTAAGTGAACACATCACCATTCATCCGGCCATGCTCAGTGCTAATTCAGCTGGGTAGTACGTTCATTCTGTTGCTGGTATTTGGTCATAACCTTATCGTGTTGCGTGATGTAATGCACTGAATGTTGGCTATTGTTCATTACTGTACTATTTATTGACAAGCCAGCACACCGAGGGATCTCTTGATCCTCCTTTTGAGTCACTACTAAAAAAGAGCGAAGAACAGTACTAGAATAGCAGAGTAGAAAGGAATGTGAGAGAACAGCAAATACCGGTCGAGGCAGACGGCCGCCCACCCTGAGTTAAGGTACTGCTCGAGGTATGTTCTAGACCTGCTCTATATGAAAAGTGCGATGAGATAACTTCTGTTATGAATTGGTGCTGTATAAAGAAAATTTTACTGAACCCCCTTCAGTGAACACTTGTCACAGCAAAATGGAAACTGCTGAATATGTTACATAAACACAACACTTGTTATGTCAGATAAAGGGGAAAAGAGAGACAGGGAGGGAGGGAGGGAGACATTAGAAAAACCAGGAAATAACCCGAGGGTCACTGCATATTCATGAGACTAATTAGCTTAATGGTTTACAGCAAAGACAAAAGCAACACTGAGGGACGACCTTGTTGTAAATCAAAAGGTGTTTATACCTGAACCCAGCTGTCAAACTCAAAGCAGTGGAGGGAAAAGCTGACCGTCATCATTTAAATACGGAGAGAACAGAGCACATGTTCAGAGAGTCCCTCCTGGAAGACGTTCAGTTTTTCACGTGAAAAGTGGCAGATATAGCTGTGTAACATATGAAAAAAGAGCGCGCTGAGAGAGAGGAGCTCAAACCGTGGCTCGTTTCTCACCTCCGCATTGCCGGCCAGTCACGGCATGAAGCGGGTCTTATCGTCACTTTCACAAGGTCCAGAAAGGGTGGGACACAGCCACCTCCCTTATCTGATGTTGGAAAGATGTCGGGGGAGAGGGTTTCTGAAGCTATTTGTAGGCTACATGTAGGTACTGACCTCCTTTTGTTAAGTGTTTTTTTTGTCAGTACCTACATAGCCTCCTTTTGTTGTGTTTTTTTTGGAGACAACTCATTTAATTAAACTTTGACTCAACCTGAATTCAGTTGTCCTTACCACCTTAATTTAACCCAAATACCTTGTTACTGCCCTACCCTAACGAGCTGGGTTGTAACACTTAAACTTGCAATTTGTTTTTTGACCCGTGACAGCTACCACAGCTTCTTGCAACAAATGCATCTCTTGCTTCTGACTGGGTGGGGCCAAACAAAATAAGCCCCATTAATGTCGGAGTAAATAAAGTGAAAACTGGCTTATATATATATATATATATATATATAACAGGCTGGTGAAGGACCATCACTGATAGGAAAGCACCATAGAGATGCACCGATCAATCGGCCTGTGACCAGGATCGGCAGTTTCCAGCTTGATCGGTCATGACCGATGACTGAGGCCAATCAATCTCAGATATCCGATCCTGTGCCGGTCAAATTTACATGCATGCTGTGATGGTCATGCACACTTGGCAACGACCGTTGTCACAGCCACACACACACACACACACACGCCAAGACATGTTGCCCATGTGGAAGTTATTCACCGTGCGTGAATAAAAGCCAAAGCTCGTAATTTGTAATACCTGAAAGACCAAAATAAGCAGTGTTTCCCATTCATGAACTTTACTTGGGCGGACTGCCAACGTATAATAGCATTGAATATCAAAGAGCTAATCTGTCAGGTTATATTTTGGGAAACACATATTTCCATCTGATTAATTGCTGGGGACGTAAGAATATGAAGATATTGCAATTGCGATATGATTTGTGGGAAATTATAACATTTAAATCATTATTCTCATTGGAAAATATATTAAAATGAATTGTGGTGTGATTTGTGATGTTTTCTTAAGCCTCTAACAATACGATGTGTAGCCCTGCAGCACAACAGTATTAAATGTCATTTAAAATGGCATTTTCACACACATATTACCTTTACTAAATGCTACAATTTATTTATTTATTTTTTAATAAAATTTTGATTAATTGATATCAATTTAGAGTTGGAACAAGCAGATAAAAATAAATTAACGTTACTATCATAAACCCTGTTTAGGGTTGCACAAAAAATGTGATATTATATAGGTATGTATTGATCATGAATGCCTTGATATCAATATTCATTTTGATATTCTTAATTACATGTAAAAACTCAAAAGTTATGGGAAAACGGATCAAAATAGATGTATAACCTGGTGTATAAATGAGGTTTTATTACAACAAGAGGTTTATGTCATGTGGTACTGGTATGACATGGATACATAAAGACCATGTCTACACAACAGGACATAAGATAATAAGAAAATTGTATCAGAAACGGGGCCCACCAACTCAGGCTCCAGATTACAGAGGCTACAGATTACGTTTGGTTGCATTGCCTCTTATGCGGTGTATCAACAGTTTGTGCAACATCTGTTGGCTTAAAGCAAAAGTCCTTCCAACCGAGAAGGCTTTCTTTTTGGCCACTAACGTTTTCTCTTCAAATCCCCTCGCTCCTCTGACTCGTTTCACTCTCTCTTCACTCACACGCTGTCGAAGTGGGCACACGTGTCACGTGGTATGCCCCGTAGGGTATGTTGGTGTAGCGGCCCTCGCACTCAGATGTGACAGGAAAACTGGCCGCTGAAACATGATCATTATAAAAGCAGTTTCAAGCGGGCTCTAAATCGAACAAAACAAGAAATATTGCATACTTTCCGTGACATTTTTGAATAGATATTGTGCAACGTGATACCGCGATAACCTCATCACAGATTACAGGGAGTTTAAAAACATGAGCTGGGAGGAAAATTTGACATTTTGACTGAGTGAAAAGTGATCTGACTTCTGCAGCGCAACATCATCAAAGTGAGACCGTGACACAAAAATTCAGCAGCAACATAATGTCTTTATATAGAGCTAAGTCTATGTTTCTTTACATACAGCACGTGTGGTGTTGGCCACAGTGAAACTATCCATCTGAGGGCTGATAACACAGCCCTCTCTCTCTCTGTGTTGCAGCTCGGGTGAGATGACTCTAGTTTACATTCAAATCCTCCCTCCAGCAGCTCCAACAACTGGAGAACTCAGTGAGCTTGAGCCAAAAGCATAATTTAACCGCTTCAAAATTAATGACTGCTTGTCTCTTCCTCTTCTCACATATTAACTCTCTCTCTCCCTTTATTCTGTACTAACACTTCCTCTTATCTCCCAACCCCCACTTATTTACCCTGCTTTCTTTCTCTCTCTCACACACACACACTCTGTTCTCTCTCAGCTGTGTGATTTTATGCTAGCTGACAGCATGTTGCTTTAAATAAATATTGCTACTAACCAACAGACACGGTCGGCCTATTGATGCTGACCAACCACACACATACTAAGATAATGAAAAACCACTGTTAGCACACAGTCAGCATGTTTTTCAGCAACCAAAACGCTGTCAGGGAGGACAGGGAGGGTAGATTTTTGGACGACGTGGACAACAACAGGTTCCTCTTTTCTTGCTTTGTGTCTTCCTGAACCCTTCTCCATTGTGCTCATGTATTAGGTCAGCCAGTATGGGTCACAGCAGAAGGCGGAGGGCACACCGCCGGACTGTGAGGTCATCGGTGGACATGATTTAGCTCTACAGTTAAATGTTAAAAACTGAAACCAGCAGCACATTCCTCTTTTAAGAAGCTTTGCGGGACACAATCGGATGACTAGTGTGTGATTGATTGTATGAAGGACTATAAACAATGAGTCAATCAGTCATAAGGCTGAAGCCGGGTCCAAAATTAACTTTTAATTAATTAGAACTAGCCCACCGCAACAGTCTACACTTCAAGGTACTGTTAACATTTAATGTAGCATAAGGCAAGGCTTAATTCTTAGTGGTAAATGTGTACACGTTAGTTGTTACTGTTCTACGACTGGTTAGTCCGTGAGTTTGGATTGTAAAGTTAGAGCGATGAGTTACTCAGCTGATCCCAGTACCGAGGGGCGCCAAGCAAAAGTATTTCTTATCCAAATACTCAATGAATCGTTGAAAGAATCTGTAGAACACTTGATTACTAAAATAATCGATAGCTGGCTGCAGGCGTAAAAGGCTGACCAAATCATTATTACATGGTCACAACGCTGTCAACACAAAATCAACATTAATCCAGGTTATTGACAACCATCTGCTCGGCAAGCTTAGATGCAACAGAAAGTATTTCTTAACGTTCCTGCCAGAGGCTTACAACATCGTTTTGTAAAAGCTCTGTCTTACTGTTCCTGTTACAACAGAATTAAAAACAAGAGAAATGCACTGCTTTTATCATCATCATGTCAAAAGATAATTTCCATGACACCTGAGCAAACGGCGTCCAATGAAGCCTATTTGTTTTGGCTTAAAAAAAACAGAGAAAAAGCTAATAAGTGGACCTTTTGGTAGGATAACTACTATTTCCAAAGGTAAAAATAATGAAAATTGATGCTTTGTGAACAGTTTTTTGTTGATGACTAAGAAATCTAGACGTTATGACTTTCAACACTGCCAAAAATACAGACGTTCCTCTTTCTATAAAGCTGATACTGATGCTGTATTGAGCTGATGTAATGTAGTGTATGCCCTTAACGTAGGCAGGCGACACTGCCAGAACTCACTACGCCCACCAGAAGGAGTGACTCGATGGCGTCTGCGAGTGGTTGGATAATGCTACAGGACTAGTAAAGAAACATGCCACTGCCCCTGTTTGGCAGTATTTAATAATGTCATATACCCCAGTGAAATGTCATGAAGCCTACAGACAGCCTGTTTGCTTCCTCGAGTATTTACTACAGTGGAGCAGCGCAGCTTCCAGTGTGCTCAGGCCTGACCCACCCGGACTGCAACACCTGTCTCGAGGTGTTAATGTTTGTGGGTCATGTTGCAATACCGCCTTGCACACGCACACGCAGCCAATTTGCAGATACGAGCGGTTTACCCAAGGATGCAGTCATAACAGCACTCCTTCATTTCTCTCCTCTATCACAGCACTGCAGAGCAGCAGAGGAAAGCAGCTTAGTGAAAATGTTCTCCAGGGGGTTGGGAAGTGGTTACTGAAGGAAAAAGGGCAGGAATACTATACTGCAGACAAAAACCTCCTTCACATTTTGAAGTTCCACCCTCACTTGTGTTGTTCTTTTGAGGAGCTGAAGCGCTTCTGGGCAGATTCACAGACCAGGGACACTAGTTTTTATGTTTGGTTACTGATTCGCTAACAAAGACGCGACACTTGAGGACAAAGACTACTGTCTCAAACAACAGCTGCTTCTGATGCCTTCTCTTGAGGGCTTATGACACTGCTGCTCATACGGCTCAAACTGGAAACTCCCCTCTCTGCGCTCCTCCTCACTGAATCAACAATGCTACAGCTGGAGCATGAAGGGGAGAATTCACATGTTCAGACCGGTTCAGACCGACGACCGGAGAATTTGGTAATTTAAAGTCTGCCATCGTCATGACACAACAGCAGGTGTGACTTGTCCTTTCAGTGAAAATGAATACAAAAATGGTCATTCCCATTAGTAATCATGAATCATATCACAAATCGTAATCTCTGTCAAAATAATTGCAATATGATTTTTTTTCGTGCAGAGCTAGAATGGAAGTCGCATCCCATATTTGCCTCAGAGTGCAGAACCCATGGTCCACTGTGGTTCTCCTTGGCAGCATCCAGTGAGGAGGGACCTCCTGTGCCAGCAGGACGGGAGGGTTTGGCATCTATGTCCAAGTCTCCTTCAACTATAGCGATTGAGAGGGATAGGCCTCTCTTAACTGACCTTGAGCCTTTGCAGGATAGCGTGTCGATACTGCTTGGGATGCTAGGACACGGGATTAGTATAATTCTCCTGCCCTCTGCAGAAGATACTGCAGTATATTTTGGAAGCTGACAAGACTGCCACAACCCTAAAGGTTCATGTGGCTGCTTTAAACCATGTCCAATTTGTGCTGAAAATTAGACCAGACCCAAGTTTTGATTAGTTATAACCGATAAAATATTAAATGCTGATCAGTGTGAAACCTTCTTTTGGTGTTGCCCACAGACGAGCTCAGTTCCTGCTCTCCATTGGCTACAACAGGGAATGCAAGACAGCAAGATGCAAGGCTAGCAGAGACAGTGTGTCAGCAGAGTTGTAATAGCCACAAAGTAACACACATGCATGCATTCACTAAAAACACTGCAACCACCACGACACTGCTTCCGTTGAGATGGAAAATGAGGGCTTATCACTTGCATCTGTGCGGTCAACTACACTCTACATTTTAATTTTTGGTGGATGTTTATTAGATTAGTCTAAAATTGACTGGAATAGATTCCAGTCAATTTTAGACTCGACATGTTTACATTTGACTACATTTCCAATTCATTCATTCATTCATTATTTTTCCACCAGAACTTCACCCCAGGCAATGTCGACAATTTCATTTTCAAAAACTTTTGTTTTTCTGTAATTTAAATTCAAAAACACCATTTGAGCAGAAATATTCTGTAATTTGAGCATCATTATTTTTTTAATCCTTTTTAACCTGGGTAGTTTTAAGAGCTGTTTTCTCTCTGCCCAGGTTCAACCACCGTCTCCTCTGTGGGCCAGGAAGCACTTTAAGGGCTGAGGGCCTTGCTCTATGGCACAACCCAGCCACATTGCTGCTTCTCTAATCTTTACATTATCTGCATAACTTCCTGTTATGAAATGTTTCTGGTCACATTTTTTATGTATGCATTTATAGTATATATATATATATAAATGGGATTTAATGTGTACAAACATTTCAAGAGGAACCTTCTGAATATGTACAAGTTGATATATAAATTATGTTTAGGGTTGGGGAGAAAATATGCAAAGGACAAGAAAGCATTGACACATTAAGCTGCCAGCTCTCTCCATGCAGGAGGCAGTATTAATAATCTAGCTATTGATATGTCCTGTCTGATAAAAGCAACAAGTGATCCGCCAGGTAATTGAGTTCCTTTACTTTAAAAAAGATAGAAAGAAAGGCATTTAAGCGACCTTAGCTGTTGTTTATAAACGCCAAACAAGCTAACGTAGTTAGCAACATTAGCTGATAAATGTTTTCAAAGCTGGTTCATTTATCAGTATGTCTGCATACAGATTACACAGACGACGTTTTATACGACCTATGCTTTGTGGAAATTCATTCACAAAGACAGAGACAGAAGTTACGCATAGCTAAACAGCCATATCTTCGCAGAATAACACAACAAATCAATATTACCACAGCAAATTAGCCCCGTGTTACTGTAACGTTACGACTGAGCGCGCACGACTAAAAAACGCCTCACGCCGTCATCGTGCCTCTGTCTTGATTGTTGAGTTTAATATAACAACACCGAAGAACAGCACAGTTAAACGTGTATTTACCGTATTTGTGCAGATGCGTCTGTAGAGTCACCCGACGGGCTTTGTGGCGTCTGTTGTCGCCGTAGACTTCAGCGCTGTTGACAGCAACAATCTGCGTTAACACCTCTTCCGGTTTATTATTTTCAAAATAAGCGAATGGAGATCTGTTTACGTTGCGCCTGTCAAAATAAAAGCACCCGCACGATTAACGCGCCCACTGGTGGTATAAAAGGGAAATAACAATTGCGGAAGGCAATGTGGCGAATATTTTCTTTCATAACAACTTTTATTAGAGTTTGCAGTAAGTACACGGTGGACGTATTCAGAATAGCACACTGTAAATGTATGGAAGTATAATCGGGGAAATGTGTCCTCTGTGACTTTTATACTGTTATATAATATCTCTCTATGTTGTTGTTTGGTGGTGCATGCTTCTTCTGATTATTCTGCAGATTACACACAGCATGTCAATTTGTTTTCAGCACTAAAACTAAGTTTAATATCACAAAAATCTGCTAATCTGCTAGGCCTAATGTCAGGCTTTATAATACCCAATGAGTAAAGTGTTACTTTCTGCAGCTACTGTTTTTGCACTTATGTCCTCTGTATATAATATAACACCAAAGAAATACACTTCAAAGAGGCAGAGATACCAATTCCACCATCAGCATCTTCAATAATTCTTAATACCATGTAGCTACATTAGGAGGTTAAATGTTGCATGTTGAAAAATCACACCCGGCCCCAAGCGGGTTATGAACATGCAGGTAGAAACACAAGCAGTGTGGCATCAGGGGGTGTAAGAGACCTGCTGAAAAGTGTGTGCTGTGATCTGATCTGATGTGCTGTGACATGCTGTAGTGTGATGTAAGTTGCTGTTAGGTGATGTGCTGTGATGTGATGTGATGTGACCTCCTTCACGAATAGGGGAAATAGCTCCTGGTAGGGTCTCCCATCCCAAATTGGCCCCAGAGGAGGGGCTAAACTGAGAGCAATTCCCAGAGACTATAAGAAACAACCAAGAAGGAGCTGCAGCACCTCACCTGGAAAAGGTAAACCATGAGAAGGACAGTAATGCCTCATACTGTTGTGAAGAGGAACCTGAGCCGGAAGGCCAAGCTATGGAATTACCAGGCTTATAATTTTCTATATAGGAATACTTTTATATATTGAAAATTAATTTTAATTCTGTTTTACAAAATCACTAACTTCACTTCCTCCAAGCCCAAACTTTATAGCACACATTCAAGTCAAGTCAGTTTTATTTATATAGCCCAATAGATAAAGCTGATGGCAGTAAATGTGTTGCACAGGCTTAAAAAAAAACGAACTACACCGACGGGAACAGCCTGAGGGGCAATTCTGTGTGCGGAAGGAAGGAAGTGCGACTAAAGAAGGCTGTAACAGTTCCTCCAGTTTAACACGTGACTTATAATCAAGCCCGAAAACATAAATTTGTGTTACCCTATTGAAAGTTCATTCTTTCATGTGCAGCAGAAAACCGAGGAGTGCGACAAACGGGGGCGCATTGAGAGAAAGTTTCGAGGACACGGAGCCTACAGAATCTGTCTCTGGGAGGCCCGAGGTGACAGTCATGTCAGGAGAGTGTCCCGGTGGCAGTGCGGGACGGCCCTTCACCAACCGGAACGGCCACAAACCGTGGTCCGTGGTCGCGCTGTCCGTACTGTGCTCCGCCGGGGCTGTGGCCGCGGTCGGCTGCTTCAGCGCGCTCATCTACCCGATACTGAAAGGTAAAAGTGTCATTCAGGGGTGTGTGTGCGTGTGTCTCGCATAGAACTTGTTACTTTTAAGTTACTTCTTTGCGTAAACTTGGGTTTTAACTGAAACTAAGCCACACACTTTGACAACTCCTGGCCAATTTTCTACAGTAGGGGAGACCGGGGATGGTTGTAACATTTACATTTTAATCCATTGCCTTCAGAATGTGATAAAAATTAATTAAATGTGTCTGCAATTAAATGGTAAATCTGTTTCTCCTGCAACACGGACAGACGATGCATTTAGTGTCAAACACAAGGAGTAAAATGTTACAATTCACCCCATAGTCTGGGTTAGCTGTACCATACACTGAGGTGAAATGCAATATTGTGTAATAAAAGGGAATATTAGAAAAACATGGTATTGAAAGCTTTTTATTTAATACTTAAATTAATTTTGACATAATTGGTGTGTCTGTGTGAGTGTCAGTGATAGTAGTTACATAGTAGTGAACACAATAATGAATATTAGTGTGTGTGTTTGTGCATCCTCACAGTGGCTCTCCTGTAGTGCAGTGCTCCTGGGCCCACAGAGAAGCCTACAGGTCTTACACTAACTTTTGAACATAATAATAAAACAATTAAACATTACTGTGCGTGTCAGACACATATTTAAACTCCATATAAAACATAAATACAGCTAAAACATTAGGACAGACAACTTGCTTTACTTGTTTGATGAGTTTAACTACAAAGCAGGAAATGCTATAACAAAAATAGCCTAAATGAAACATTAAAATAATTTCTTCCCTTCTAAAATTGGCTGTTTCTGCCACAGGATGCTACTTTTCCTCATGTGGAGTAAGGACTAAACTGAACATGTGCAGAGTGAATCAGGTGATTTGTAACTTGTTCCTGATTGGAGAAATTGGATGTGATAAAACCATCTCCGGTCTCTCCTAAATTAAAACTTCAGCTCACTGTGAAGGCTTTTCCTAATACATTTGTTGTTATATTGTAAAATGTTATTTGAAAGGAGCTGTTCATAAGTGAGTCAAGACATTCCGTGTTACCACATTTTAACAATAAACAATTGTGAAATTAGATAATCATCAGATTCCAAGGAGTCTAATCTAATCTAAACTGTAACATGAGCACGACAGTTCAGTCTGACTTTACGAAAGAGTAGTTTCACAAAATAACCTTCACTCAAGGCTGCTTGGTATCTGAAGACCGTGACATGAGGTTGACAGATCCAGAAAAGGCCAGGAAGTGGACCTTGAGATTTGTTTTTGGCAAACTAACCTAAAACAGCTGGGGGGAAATATGAAACAACACAGACTCAAAAGCACTGCTTCTATCACAAATAAATTAATTGTAGTTAAATCCATCCACCTTTACTGGTGGTATGACAACAGCTGATCAATATGATATTTGCTTGTGCCAAAGAGCAAAATGCTGCTTTTCTTCATCATTAGTGATACTGAGTGATGGTTGTTTCAGAGCTGCGGGTAGAGAGGGTGAAAGGAGAGGATGGAACTGAAGAGAGGATGTTGGGTGAGTATCAATTTCTGTTCATGTGGTCCCAGATTCACTGCTCCTTCAGGATCATCTTCATATAGGCCTAAAGTTTGGACTTTATTTAGCTACATGTATGCAGTAACTTTCACTCCTTCCACTGACAGTTTTGCTGGGACATCCAAAACATTTAGTTAGCATTTAATAGCTAAAGCTCGTATGGGTTTGATGGTGCTCATGGCAATTTTAGGTATTAAATGCTCACAAAATAATTATCATATTAATAGTACCATATCAGTACTAATATAATATTTAAAAAGTTGTAGATAAAAAGTTACCATTTCATTATCAATTAATCTGCAAATTATTTTCTGAATGAATTGATATATTGTTTGTCTCTAACAGAGCCCGACCGCTAAATCGGTGTGCCGATCTTATAAGCCGATGTAAGCTAATGGCAGATAATTCGTTTTTTTAACTAAGTTTAAAACAGCTGATAATTGAAAATTAAAAAAGAAACCCAGAGAAGTCCTGTTTTGAGTGTTGTCGTTGCATAGTTTGTCCACCAGAGGCCGCTCTGTAACTTCCCTGGTGGCAACAGATACAGCACAAATACAGCAATGAGCAGACCTGAGTCAAGCAGAGCATTTAAGAACCCACAACAGAGTTCATCTTTGTTCCAAGTACTATTTATAATAATTAAAAAGTTTCTTTTTAAACTGCAATATGTATAATATGCAATGTTATCTTGGTGAGGCCTCAAACCTCCACATAACAAATGTTAGGGATAATCTGTGTTTATGTTGTGTCTTTCATAAACAAGAAAAAAAAAATCTGCCGATATATTGGAAATATGGGATTTTAAAATCCTCAAATATTAAAATCACTTACGGTCTCAAAAATCCAACATTGGTCTCTAAATTGTCAGAATATATTCCAACTGTCAAAAACCTAAATACATACAGTTTTTACTCTAACTATGACAGATAAAAGCATTTGAGGAGCTGGAGCCAGAGAATATTTAGCACTTTTGCTTAGAAAATGGCACCAGTGAGTAATTGCTGAGAATAGTAGCATCTGCGGCACAGTGTGCTTATACACCATTATAACTTTCCATTAAGCTGTGTGTGTGTGTGTGTGTGTGTGCAGGTTTCTGGAGTATCCTGGTGCTGTCAGTATTAGTAGGATGTATCTGCTGTGTCTTCTCATGGACTCTCACCTACCTTGACTCGTATCAGCCTGGTATGGCGTTCCCAACACTGGCCAATTTCAGGTAACACACTGGGTTACACCAGTAAATCAGACTAGCATCATCCAGTCAGAGCGGTCCAACACAACCTTTGGCCTCGTTAGCAGACTGCAGGTGATGAGGTCAACATGTTAAAAAAAAACCAACAGGAATTTGTATTTGTGTGTTTTCTTCTAGAGATGTATCTGACCATGATTTCTACATGAGTTATGGTGTTGCGGTCCTTAATGGCATCATGGGCATGCTCACCGTCATCTGGAGCCTCACCTGACAGACGCACAGGCATGAGACAACTGGGCCTAGAACCACACAAAGGCCTCTGAGATGTTCTCCACAATTCAGTTAAAATAAAAGTCAAGATATTTATGTTTGTAGGACTACTAGACACACGTTTGAGTTGATTTTACCAACATTTCCTGAGAAAGGGGCTGTGCGTGTCTACAATTCAAACATCTGTTTCTGCACTACACTCTGACTGTTTTGTATCCAAACTGTTACACTGTCTACACAGGATGCATTTCAGCCATGTTTTTAAGTAACGTCTTATGCAAGTCAAGTCTGTTAGCAACAAAAAAAAAATGTCATGGTCCTGTGATTGGACAGAAATGGTCCATGCACAGCATTTACATGTTTTGTTCTGTGATGAGGGACAACTATCTACAGACATGCCTGGTTAAAGCCTTAATACTTTACTTTAACTGTGGTGGATATGTTTATGTTGAAAAACTAAATTAATACAGAAATAAATAATGGAAGCTTAGGATGATGTACATTTTCACCTCAAGGTGCAAAATGTCCTCCCAGAAGCACATGAGACTGAATCTACTGCTGTGTATGTCGAGCTGTTAATGATAATGAATTTGCTGTGTACTGCATGTTGGGAGATCTCTGTCATTAAAAGGTAACACAGGGAAATATTTTTGTTTTTTTATGTGGAAATAAAGTGTCATTAACTGTAACAATAAAGCAGTGAAAGAGCGATAAGAGCTTCTTCAGTCTTGCTGTTTGTGCATCTGTAGAAAAGACAAATACGTTGAATCTGAACAATAGCAAGTAAGAACTCTATTTAAATGTCACTTTTCAAAAACAACATACAAGGTACTTAAACTGTTGCTATAATGTTACTGTACTGTAAGCCTGTATATAACCAACTCGGCATACTTACCAAATACATATATGTTCATTCTGTACATACAGCCTCACATTTGCACTCTCCATTCTCTAACTGTCCACTTCTCTATATGTTGTTAATATATTCACATATACTGTATAGTATTTGTATATTGTAAGATATAGCATACGCAATAGTACTTACTTTCTGCACTTACCTGTAAAAAAAAACAACAACCATATTTTACACTTCTGGTTAGATGCTAAATGCAGTTCATTAGCTCTGCACCCGTACTCTGCATAATGACAATAAAGTTGAATCTAATCAGATCTAATAACAAGCTTGAGGAAAGTTGTTCCTTCAATGTAGTCGGTAGCAGGAGAAAATCAAGGGGAAAAGGCAATATCAATAAATCCAAAAGGATTCAAAGTTTAAATCAAGAAAGACAGGCATTTTGATCATGGATCCACCCATTAGGGGTGGGGGGAAAAACGATACAGGCATAGTATCGTGATATATGCCACGGCAATACTGTATCGCTACACGGACGCCAAGTATCGATATTTTATTATATAAATTGCAGATGGGAGTTTTAACTTTTTGGTACTAGAATAATAAAATCTATTGCTTTTTTAGTCCACTAGAAAACTTAACAGGACCATATAGAGGACTGAAAAAGTGATATGAACAAACAGAGAAATGTATCTTGAGTTCAGGTCTAAAGCTGCGGTTTTGGTCAAATATGAACAAACTACAAAAGAGTTTTTCCACCAGGCTGCAGTGTGTGACAGATTTTCCACACGTGAGTCTTTTTCAATCTTTTGAACTTTAGTGTAGATGTATAGATGTTATAAAAACGGTTGTAAACAACTCGTATACATGCATCAGTATGCAGCAGTGACTCTCTCGTGTTGGTAGGAAGGACCATGCAGTTCTCATGCAGTTCTCATGCAGTTCTGGGTTATATGTATGCCCAGGGGAAAATGACTGTATGAAAAACAAGCAACATTTTTACAACAGCTTCATTAAAAGTCCCAAAATAGGAAGCATGACTCAGATTCAGGAACATGATCACAATGAGTGAACGTTAGGCCACAGTTTAAGAACAACTTTGAGGTGCATCCTTGCCAGGAGAAGTTTTACAATTTCAGCAGCACAGTAAGCATTAAAAGTAAAGCTAAATACCTGCTGTAATTTCTGAAAGGATCTGAAAACAATCCAAAATGTATGTTACAACACGTGTTACTAATCAGAATCAGCTTTATTGCCAGGTATGTGTACACATACGAGGAATTTGACACAATGTACTTACAAAAATACAAAATCACAATAATAAAAATAAAATAAAGTCAGACACAGACTACAGTGTAGACAACACAAATATACACACTATGAACAAAAACAATGTACATGTACATTGTATGTACATGTCGGAGATGGATGTGATATACAGGTACGTATACATGCATACATGTACACATGTACACAGTGCAATGAAGCATAGTGCAAATGATGCTGGAATAAATAAGTATTTTGTGCAGGAGTAATAACTTGAGGTAGGTGGATTGGTATACAGTATCTACAATATGACAGTATAACAGTATGAACAGCACTGAAATGGAGAATGGTGAATATATAATAAGTGTTAATAAGCTAATAAACAAGTGGCTGATTAGAGGTAGAGTTACTGGGTTATTGCACAAGAATTGTTCCTGAAATCAGCTGTTCATCAGAGTGATGGCTTGTGGGAAGAAACTGTTAATTAAAAACCATTAGGTTATAACAGAAGTTCAGGAATACATTTTTAATCCTGCATCATTGAAAAACCATTGCAAGGCATAAAATAATAAATCATACTGAAATCTTAGTTATCTTTTGATACTCACAATTTTTTCCCCACCCAGACCACATAAGACCAGGTCAAGATCAAATACTTAGACTTGTCAGACGTTGACCGGACTAACACAGAGACTGTAAATATCGTTAAAAAGCCCAGTTACAGATAAATCTGGCAAGATTTTACCAGAGGACGTTGTTGACTCTTCTGGCCAGATATAAAAGCTGATACCAATTTCCTCACATCATGATTAAATAAATCATTAAATCATTATAAATTAATTAAAAACGTTGGTCGATTATTACACCAAAGTCTAAGTTCACCTAAATATTTAACTTTTGTTTGATGTCATTGAGGTCATTGAACTATTTATGGGGCCAAAGTGAAGATAAGGGGACAAAAATAAAACCTGTGAGCAGCTAGTGGGAGCCCGAACCACATTTTATGTTAACTATTACATTTTCCTGTAGCCTACAATGAAAAGAAAAGCGCTGGATGTTTCTGTCTGATTAAATCTCTTCCCAGAACTGTGGGTGTGTACAGACCGATTTATTTCACTACACAAAAACAGAGTAACACGCCAATAAATCCAACAAATCATCATAACACAACAGCAGACAAAAAAACTAAAGATTCTTTCTTACAATTGCAACACAAAAATCTGAAAAAGTTGGCTGCTTTTCAGCTACTTGAACAGCAAAAGTTTTTTGTTCCATTGATGCCAAATCCAAATAATCTTCAGGCCAGTTCTCCAGTTTGAAACAATAGGTCTGTTTCAGAGCAGGTATTTTGACATGTCATGGCAGGTATAACTAATAATTACAATGACGGCTGCATTCCACACCAGGGGCAAGATCAATCTCAAAATGATGTTTCCTGGTTTGCTATGGTTTCCGGGTTGAACAACATGTTTCCTTGAAACGGTGTGCAACGGGTAGAGGTTACAACGGTGCAAAACAGGTTTTGAGCGATGTGTATATTAACACAGGCGTATTAAAAGGGCAGTAAAGTGAAGTGCGCTTGAACACATAAGAGGGTGTTAGAGGCGCCACCATTTTCTGTTTGAATAAACGTTGTCAGGACTGAACTCGGCCCAGTTTCAGGGCTGTGATATTCCTGTTACGACCAGTCAACGTGTCACACTTGAGTAAATGTTGTATATTTTCTAATGTTTTCATATTTTTTGTCATTTCTAACGTTTTCCTGAATAAACTAGATTTTTTTTTTTTTTTTACCATAACCAGCTAACCAATAACACTGGTGACATGTTGACATGTTGTCTGAAACGCAGCATTATATGTGACTTAAAACCAGTGACATGTCTGTAATTAAAATCAACTGTTGCTCACACACACATGCAATGTTACTCCACTTACCTTTCCCAAAATGAACTCAGCAAAGAATATTTAGGCTCACATATTTCAGCACCGCAATTTAACGTCTCATCCGAAAGATGGCATCTCCTTCAGCACAGTGTCGGCATTGGGATCTTATTATTAGGACCAGAGGGAAGACTGCCCACTACTGGCCCCCCAAAACCTCCTTTTCACAGGAGGTCTCCCATCCACGCACTGGCCAAGCCCAAACCTGCTTAGCAGCAATCATTCAGCAGTAGCAGGGTTTACATTGGTGTGGCTACTAGCTTTAATTTGATAACTTTATTTGTATATATATATATCTTTTTTTTAATTTTATATATGTGTATATATATATATATATATATATATATATATATATATATATATATAAAAAATAAAAAAAAGAGTTTTGTGAAAAAGTTTGAACAATGCAATATGTCTTCATGTTGGTCTGAGGTGAGAGATACTACTAGGCAATTTCCCCAGGGAGCCCTTATATTCATAGAGTCACCATGAAAAGTAACAACAATCCACCATTGGGCTTGGCTCACTATGCAGCAGGACATTAAAAGGGCGTTCTCAGGTGGGACAACATGTTGCGAGCCAAATAAAAGCCTCAGGGTCACAGAAAAACCCTAAATGCAGTTGTGTTTGGACTGTTTGGATAAATGCTTTTAAGTTGAAGGGATCCTCAGAGGTGTTAAGTTGGTTAAGAGTAAATCCACACACCTTCTGATATTATGGAGTCGTAGCTGCGTCACATGTTCGTTGCTACTGGGAAAATTTAAAATACCTTTTTTTTAAATTTTGTTTATTTTAATAAAAACTTTAATTAAAAGGTTTCTCCTGCTAGGAACTCTAACCTCGGTCAACACCTTAAGGGTATTAAGCAAAATTCTGCATTTGTACATGCCAGGGTGTAGGTAGACCTTTGTCTCAGGGGTTTTGTTAAAGCTGTTGTCGTCACGGGCCAACACTTCGTGACCCCTGTTGGTTCAACACTTTGTATCTTTTACTGGGTACATGAAGAATGAAGGTTGGCCGAGCTGAGCAGAGGGGGAGTGTAGGCAGAGTGGCAAGAAGGCGAGCTGGGCTGTGAGCCTGGCTGGCAGTGACGTGGGCGGGTTGGCAAGCACCCTCAGGTTTTTGGAGATGGCTATGCAGCAGCCTGTTCCAAGAAGCAGTTATCTGGATTAACAGCTGAGTAAAAGCAAGAATCTTTTCAGATGTGGAACATAAGACTGTAGACCTGCTCCAGCTTTTTTTAGTTATCAGATACCTCAGATAATCTGCTCGTTGAATCAGGCCCCAAGAGGACAATTCAGCCTTGAAACTCAGCAGTTCTCAGTATTAAGGCTTTCTGAACCCTGAACCAGCTGATCCGATTGCTACAACGAAAAGACTCATTGTTTTTGAAATGCCAAACACATTGTATGCTAGCTGAGTAATCAGGTTTTAGAAGTCCTTGGATATACTGTATTTTAGTACAATTCAGTGAAGCTCTACAGTATTTTAAAATAGCTAAACAGATGTTAATCTATGTCAAACGTAAAAGAACTTCGTTCTTAAGTCGATTGTTTGTTATGAACTGATCGTGCCATTTTTTAAATTTAAAATGTGTGACTATAATGCAGCTCTGATACGTCCGGTTCAATTGATAGACTTGTTCTGTTGATTAACACGAGGCCCAGGCTTTAAATGACAAGCATTTCAGTTGAGTCCCGTCTTGTTCAGTACAACCTTATAGTAGCCACGTTTGTTTGTACAGAAAAACAAAACAAAAACGTTATGTTATTTCTGTTTATTTAAAATATACTGTATGGTTATAAAACAACAGTGCAAATACAGCCATGTGAAAGACACAACACATGATTATTAGGCAAAAAATGTTGACGTCATTGTGATATTGGATAGAGACAGCACAAACATTCACAAACATTTACTCAGTTCATCATCTATGACCAAGTCACATCAACGCAGTGCAAAGGATTGAACACAAATCCTAGCTCTCATACAATACACACGACATGGTGACTGCCTCCACCAATGTCAAAATTAATTAATACACTACATAATAACCTTAATGGGGAAAAGAGGAAAGGCACAGTCTCACACAGCAGAGGCCATATGTTTAAAATCCATTCATGTATCATCTCTGCACAGAGAGAAATTAGTCTTGATAGTACAGCGGAAACAGCTTAGGAATACTGACGGTTACAGTGATCAACCTCTTATATGGATCAGGAAAAACCTGAGAGAGAATCGTTCCCATACTTTTTAAATAATTCACTTACAGTGTAGTAATCAAGTATTCAGCTGACAGCGTTCAGCTTAGTTTTCACAGTCTGCTACATATTCAACATCGATAGCCTGCAGTTTATTTTCAGGCCTGTTAAAAAATGAGATGTAAAATTATAGCGATGGAAAAACCAGTAATGTTAGCAGTAATAGCATATAAATAAATTCAAAATTGAGTAAATATACATCCATTATATTCATGTAATACATATACAAATGTCAGTTAGATAGTAATTTGATGAGAAACAAAGAAAAAAAATTGGTTATGAAAATGATCCGCTTAAGGTGATCAATTAGACCTGAACAGGCGTGATCAATATAAGAAGTTTCCTCTGTAGTGTGTACAATTAAGTTATTTGTTTTCTTGTTTGCTGCAATCATCATTTATTCACAAACTGTCATAAACAATCACATGAAAACGTGAATACCTAGAACGCGCTCATCATCAGTCATGTTGTTTGTGTGGAAGTAAAACATCTGGCCAGCAGAAAAGAAAGGCATCGTTTCTCTTGTCCTCTACTAAGCAGGTTACAGTTACATACCATATTTTGAAAGACTGCAGGTATTTAGAGTTTATATTTGGTCATGTGTTTCTTATTTCTTCAAAATGTATTTGGTTGATGTCAGACAATAACCTTTACAACACTTTCGCTCATTAAAGTTTTTTTCAACTGCTAACATGCATTGGTCAAAACTCTTCGCACAGTCCAACTGGGAATTATTTTGTCTTTCTCCAAAAATCAATGAACTCTTTTCTCATTACTACGATACATCTGCAGCACATTTTTCAAATGCTAACACCCTGTGTCCACAACTGTTAAAAACACATTCAAAACAGAACGATGGCAAATGTCCTCCTGCATTTCTCAGTAACCAGACTGAGATCTACAGATAATCTTTTGAAAATCGTCTGTGGGCGTAGAGGAGTGTGTGTGGTGTTTTGAAAAAAATGTGGTTTAGAACTGCAGTCTGAGTGTAAAGCTTTAGCAGACTTGTTCCTGGGGGGTTGGTGCATGAGTTACAGGTTGTGGTCATTGTTTCTCAAGTAATTATTAAACTTTAGTCAATCAAGTGAAAATATGCTTTTCTTATTCTATAATGAAATACTGGTTTATGTGAAAAATCTGAGACAAGTTAATCTTTTATGTGTAATGCTTCCTGTTGTTAGGTCGGTGTGTTATGAGTGACATGTTTGCCGTCTGAGTGAGAATCGTTGCCAGCGTTTGGGCAAATGAGTTTATTTTGAGACGTGTGGTTTGAGGTGAGCAAAGATGCGTGGTGGTAATGCAGACTGTGTGAAGAGTTTTGAACAAGTGGCTTCAGTACTGATCGATGCTTGTTAGCAATTGAAAAAAAACAAACAAAAAAAAATCTGTAAAGAAATCTGTCAACAAACGCATCCAAAGTGCAGAGCCAAACCAACAATGAATGGATCCTATAGTGTTGTGTGTGTCAGACGCCTGATAGATCTTCTTCCTTTGAGCCATAGCGCCTCACTGCTGCACTGGGTGACATGTTCCTTTATCCTCATGAACACACACACTGTAGGCCGCTGACAGGAGGTGCGAAACCACTAGCCAGCTGGGGCCCTTCTGCACGTTCTCACTCTGCCTGTGTTGGTTTTCTCCGGGACTGGTAGGTCAAGCGGTGACCGCCTGGCAACCTTTCTGAGATTTGCTCAGCCTCCCGCCGATTGTCAGCTGGGATCGGCTCCAGCACCCCCGCAATCCTCTAAGAATGACTCAGTCCCACAAACGCTGCGCCCTGCTGCCACAAATACTCAGTAGAGCACAAAATGTGGGTTCATCCACAGCTGACATGCAACAAATGCATAATTTCCTTTATCTCTAGGACATTTTTAATAAGGAAACAACTCCGAGTGTTTCTGACCTTTTTAGGCACCTTCTCCAAATCCAGTAACAGCTCATTTAGCAGTGATGAACATCTTGTGCCGATATAAGCAGCCGAACAATATCAAACATGTGGTGCAGGTGAACAATGTAACATTTCAAGCTTCAGCAGCACTGTGTTCATTAAAGTAAGATATTGATAAGCTTGATACAAATACTTAATACAATGATGGTACAATACATAATCTATACAATTACGGGGAGAAAGAATAAACATAAAAACACAAACATATATATATTTTTTTGTAAGACAGCAGTACTTGTGCTAATAAAAAAAAAGGTACCATTCATGGTGTTTATGTAGCTTTTTCCATCAAGTCTAAAAGGCACCAACTTCAATAAGCTGGGAAACAGACAGAAACTGAAGGCTTAACATTTTTCTAAATTGTGCGTGTTTATCCGATGCAGCCTTTTTGTCCGTGATCAGCGAAGTGTGGTCTTTTAAAGCCGCACTCATCTTGTTTTTCTGTTCACACTGAATCAAATGACTATATTTCAAGTGAAAGGTGTTGTTCATGTTTGTGAACTTACGAAGAATCATCACCAGACTCTACAGCTCCAAGGAGCTTTCCAGCCTCTCTTTGGCCAGCGTTTTGTTTATACTGGTTATTTTCCATTCCGGTCAGTCAGGGACTTTTTCAGTCCTGAAACTTGGGCTTTGGGCATCGGCTGAGTCCCGATCCGATACCAGCGTAAAATTAATAAGCTGTGAGACTGGAAATCTTTCTTTTACATGTAAGGCAACATCAGGCTTGATCAAGAGTGAAATACCTCCAAAGTGCTGTTTTAACTCCGTGCTATGCTAGCTCTCCTAGCAAAATGTTCAGATCTACCATCTAAGCTGACGTATCGCGCAGTACGTACATAACCTGACTGAACTCGGCCATTGATCGGCCCCTTTGTCACGGATACCTGATCCAGCTATTTGAGTCAGTATCAGGCTGATATCTGGTATCAGTTTCAGATCCTTAAGTTCAGTCTCAGTGCTCTAATCAAGTGTTTTTCCAGGAGCAGGCAGCGGTTTTAAGCAAACCAATTATAATAAGCCCACTGTATACTTTCTTCCCAGCATCATTTGGAAGCGTCTACACTGTAGTTTTAGCATCTACCTTCTACTTTGACACAGTAAAAAAAAAGAAACTTTGTGACTGAAGAGCTTACTGAAGGTCACCTTGTGGAGGCGCTGTGCCCACTCACCTTTACTGCTTTAGTATGCGAGGAGCTAATCAATATCTATCATTAGCCATCATCAGCAGGTTCTGGCATCACTGATGGGGGAGAGTCCGACTCCGTTTCTGTGGGGCTGTTGGCCAGGACGTCCTGCTTGGAGCGCCTCCTGGAGGCCAGTTTGGAAAGCCCGGCGAGGAGGAAGACCACAGAGATGACCGCAAAGTAGCCGCCGTAGATGAGGAACTGAGGGAAGGAAAAAGACCAATGAAATCCAGACTGTGGTAGGTGGATGAACAGCGTAGGTGCATCCGTGCATGGTGTCACAGGCTTGTGGCACTTCCTCACCTGGGTGAAGATATCGAGGCCAAGGCCAACGGAGTCCACCACCACCACAGTGAGCAGAGACTGCAGCAGCAGAGCCATGAAGGTGTTCACTCCAAACACCAAGGCGTAGCGCTGCATGCTGAGACTGGCTGCGATCTGATATCTGACCGGTCAGACGACAGACAACAGGAAAACATTGTGAAATACCTGCTTTTAATGAAAGTTGGAGTGTAGTGGTTAAGGAAGCTGTCATCCGCATACATGCACAACCTACTGCCGCAAATCAAGTATAAACAGAGATCTGAGATCCAGAAAAACACAGAACACAGAGGGAGACCACAGTAATGCCTCATTCCCCAGCAAACCCTGCTGTTTGTTTAAGCTCAGGTTTGGTTTTTGTTGGGGCAGTGATTCCCAAACTTTTCAAACAAGAATGTATTCAGATGCCTGGAGATGAATGGGCCTCTTGTTGTGGACCTTTCATGTCAAAAAGTTGGGTTAAAGTCTATACCAACCGTGAGGCCGGTGTTTATTTACACATTATAAACAATGGTTTCTGCAATCTGACCTATACTTACTCAAGTTTCCCCTTCTCTCTCTCTTCCCCTTTCTCGCTACAGTGGTTGTGAACAGTGAAACTCTCTCTAAAATAAGGTTAGCAAAAACAAATGCTCATGCAATTTACTTTCTTTCGGAACATTACTGGTTAACTTACAGTAGGCAAAACATCTCTGAACTGTCCAGCATCCATGCTAATGTAATCTGTTTTAGAAGCATGTATGTATATACCCTTCCTCCAAAGCACTTTTATCCTCTCTACCACTTTTCTAATATGACTATTTTATTACTGCAACAACTAACAGCAGCAACGGTTCAGTCCTCCTGTCTCTTAACTGTCAAATAAAATTTCTTTCTACATTGTGCTTCTTAATGCATTTTAGATTCTGAATTAAATTACTAACACTCGGATAAACCCAATAAAAACTAGAAAAAAAACAGAACTAGGTGCTGACACGAACTTGCATATCTTCAACTTGCCGTGGTTCTTTTAATAAAAAGTTGTCGTGAAAACATTCAGTTTCCACTTTCTGATATCCCCGATTTAAACTCAGGTTCAATTTCAAATTCATTTCCACAGAAGGGTTTCAGATAATCCAGATAAACCACATTTTCTGAATTTATTGGTAACACATTCCTGATTCGCTGCTCACAAGTTTCAGTCTGACATGACTCTAAATGAATATGCAGTAACTGGCTGATGAGCGAGAATTAAAAACTTCATGCCGCCTCTTTGTACTCACGTGGCCACGGTGATGAGCAGCATGTACGTGGCTCTGAAGAGGACGTACGAGCTGTAACACAGCCAGATGTCCCCCAGCGCGTCCATGACGAACACACAAATAGCCATCAGCAAGGAGAGGACACACAGAGCCAGCTCGCCCCACAGAGTCCAGCTCACCGGCAGGTAGCCCACCAGCAGCGCCGCCAAAGCCCCTGTGGACCAGCCGAACTGTTAGAAATACATCTGTATGTGAAACCTGCTGGCCAGTCTGAAGCCTCGCGTTCCATGACGTGCAGTCAAAAGCTCCGGGAAAAGCTAGCAAGTAGACCTTAAGCCTGCTTTCATGATCAGTGCTTCACAGTTAATTCCATCTAAGAAAGCACAAATGCTCTGCCAGCAGATCATTTTGAAGTCTGGTGAAGTGGCAAACTCACCTAGCAGTGTGGAGAGTGTCTCTACATAGCCGTTGTAGATTTCATACTCATGGGATGGACGAATGTTCTCCCACAGCGCCTGAGCGTAGTTGATGACCTGAAAGTAGCCACACGTGGCCAGAGCCCACCACACTGACCAGGCCAGCAGGGGGCGACATCTGTAGCACTGCAGGAAGTCATCAAACAGCATCCGCAACACGTCCACAAGACCACTGTTATGACTTTCTGCCTCAGAGGACCGGGATATCTGCATGGGGAGTTGGGGGGGTCAAACATGGCCAAGTGACTGTGTCTCTTTATGCAAGTACTCACAATATAAGAGATGAATCCCTGCTATGACCTGAACACATACCGTGGAGACGTCCGTGGCGTTCAGAGGCACTTTGCTCTCTACATCCTCAGCCTTCTCCGTCAGGGCTGCGCCGCAGCTGCGCGGCCTCTCCTCTGCTGCTCCTGGACTCTTGTGGAAAAACAAGCTCCTCTTGGGCATGGGCAGAAACCAGGGAGCGACGAAGGCCACGGCGGCAGACGTCAGCGTGATGATGACGAGGTGGAGCAGCCGGACTTTGGCCACGGAGAGCAGGAGCTGACCGATGAGAGATCCGGCCGCCGATCCGAACAGAGTGACGCTGCGGCAGTAACCCGTCACTCTCTGGTAGTGCGCCGGCTCCACCACGCTGTAGATGTAGGAGAAGTAGGCCACATCGGAGGCCGTGGCCAGCCCAAAGAAAAACTCCAGGAGCTGCATAGCCAGCATGCCCTGCGCCCTCAGCAGCATAACATAGGTAACTACTAAGCCGGTGGCCTGCAGGACCAATACAGGCTTATAACAGAGGTAGTCAGTGGCCAGGAAGATGGGGAACAGCAACGCAAGGTAGGAATACGTCCATATCGGATAGATTTCATTTACGACCTGCAGATAACAGATGAAGATCATTTTAATTCCCCCAGTATCAATTCTGCTTTCCAGGGAGTCGTTGTTTAAAAACAAACAGTCAATGCATTCGAGTCGATCAAGTGCATTAGGGTGCAGATAAATACTAGTTTGTTCCCTTGCAGACTTGCCTAATGATTCCAGACTCTATAATACTGCACTACAGTTCAGTCACTGCCTTGTTACGAATACTGTAACTGTGCTGTCAGTACTAGCCATCTGAGAGGTTTTTGATGGACTTCCTTGCAATACGATGCGATTTAATTGCAATAAACGGATGTATGCCAGATTTCTGAGCATGCACTTTTTTTTTTTTAGGGTTCAGGGACAGTTTACTGACTCTTAATCAAAAGGCCAGCTAGCTGACATTCCTCTGTCATTTCCGCTTAGCAAGTACAACCACAATGACATTTCCCTGTGGCACAACATAATTCCTTCCCTGTAAATAGGATTCAATCCATTTCACTGTAACAGAGTCAAAGCCGTAGCAGTTTTCACAGCAAGAGTTTGTGTAGAAAAGTATAAAAAGCCTTTTTAAAGGAATAATGCAGCAGTGGCTTCCTGTCTATTTAATATCTTCAACCACTTAAATTTCCTTCAACTGCTTTGACCTACACTAAGCACTCTCTCCAAGACTTTAGGTGTTGAACAAAGGATGGATAACGGACAGTAATTTGCTATCTTTAGTATGGACTAGCGGTGGTTAACATCATTCAGAGCAAAAAAACTGATAACTGCTTCACTCTCTGTACGATGTTTCCAGGCCAGCTTCTAACTTATGGAGGTAATTATTTTAGGATTAAACTGAAATGGGATTAGTCAACGTGAGGGGAGTTGGGGCCTGAAAAAAAAACAAAAAAACAAAAGGACTGAGGCATTAGAAGACATTCAGCATTATTATTCTGAAAATAGCGTCAACACAGACTCAACACTGTTTTCTATAGGGCTGGCTGCAAAAACAGGAGAAATACAGAGCTTGATGTGGATTCGGGCATGTTATTTGTTAGTATTAAAAAATATTTAAATATTCAAATCACATTAAGCGCCCCTGTGAGCTTCAGCACAACACACTGCATGTAAACCGGAGAGCAAAGCCTCGTGTGAGTCTACATGCTAAGAAAAGGTGGACGGGTGAAGAAATGGAGACAGGCAGCAGTACAGAGGCAGGACCAAATGATGAGGAAACATGTTCAGCATGAAGAACATGTGCGAACGCTGTCTAGTTCTGACACAAGCTGCTTTAGAGGTGGTGCAACCAGGAAAACTGCAACACGGACATCATTGCTTTAGTCTGTGTCCTAAGGCTAAGAGACGTACTTCATGTGTAAAGACATGGGGAGGCCTGGTTTTAAGATTTAGAGACCAGCTGGTCTGTCTTCCTTCATTAAAATTGTATAAAATATATATAATATTGTCCAAATAAAGCCTCAACTTTAAAAGCTTCATTTACTTCCATTGGTGCAATGCAGAATAACTTAAGAAGGTAAAGACAAAGTTTTAGGTCCGAGAAATTAATTTTCAAGGATCAAGTAATGAGTTAACAACTTCAAGATACTCTGCAACAGTGGAAGTAAATGGAGCCTTGAAAGTTGATGCAACACAAATTTCTACAGGTTGTTCCAATGTGTAAAACACCTTGAACAGCCTGTTATTACACACTCTGATTATATATTATATATACTATCAATAAAGAGGACAGACCAGTTGGTCACTGGTTGATCATACAATGAAATAATGAACCAAACTACTTCATTTAATAGTTAGCTTTAGATATGAAAATGTCTCAGTTTTGGGGAGGTAAATTTTTTAACTTTGGCAGTTTGTTGCTTACTTTTGTACCATTTAATAATTTTTTTCACTGGACTTGAACTATTTATATTTCAATACAAACTAGAAAAGTGGGGGTGTCCTAAAACTTCCGACCCGTGGTGCAGTTTGTGTTGTTCACAACATTGCATTTTTTTATTTTATTTTAAAACAACAAGATCACCATCATCTTATGCAGCCTTGTGCTGCATAATGACAAATAAACAACCTTGTACCTTCCTGGTCATTTACAGAACACACTGTCAACAGATTCCATTGAACCTATTTTTCTTCTTCTTTTGGTACCAAAATAATGTCCTAAAAGTGGAAGAGGATTTCATTTGTGTAAGTTGTGTCTTTGTTAGCACATGAAGGTGAACTGTCTGGAACTGTTCAGAAGCAGTGGTGGACAATAACTAAGTACATTTATACAAGTACTGTAGTACAAACTAGAGGTATTGGAAAAACCAACTGGCAACTAACGTGATTGTTTAAGTCATTTTCCATGTGAAAACATTTCTTGGTTCCAGCTTCACAAACATGAAGATTTGCTGCTTTTCCTTTTGATTATTTTAATGCATTTTAAGGTTTGGACTGTTGGTCTGACACAACAAGCATTGTGAAGGTGTAGCTTTGGGCTCTGGGTAACTGCGACAACATTTGTCAGTATTTTCAGAATTTTTACTATGATTAATGGAGTAAATTATCAGCAGATACATCTATAATAAAAATAATTATTAACTGTAGTAAAATCCTGCTTTTACATTAATGCATGAGTAATTAAAATGCAATGATAATATTTATGCAAGAGTCACAGGGGACATTTTTCATTCTGCTTCGAGTACTTTTACTTTTAAGTAAGTACATTTTTTCCAATGCAGTACTTTGACTTGTAACAGAGTATTTTAACAGTGAGGTATTAGCAGGATCTGTTTCGCTGTTCAGAGGTGCACCTGCGCTGCCTGATGTAACAGAGCAGTAATGAAACGCTTTTTTCACAGTGATCAAACAGACTGTGTAAAATATCCGAACAATAATAAACTTAATAATCTAACGTTTTGATAGATTATTGAAGAAGACGCGCTGTCAGCTGTCATTCTGCTGCCGAGGAAAGAGATACAACTGTGCAGAAGGAGTGTGAAGACAAAACGTCAGAAGTTAAAACGCAACACAAGGTCTCGCGTCGGTGCTAATGCGCAGCGTTGGCCTTCTTCAGCGCAGCCAGGTAACTCACCTGAGTCTCTGTCAGGTTCTTGTCTGGGCCCATCAGGTAGGCGGTGAGGAACGGCTCCGACGGCCGCAGGTTGGAAAAGAAGCCGTACACACAGAGCAGGAGAGTCGGGCGGAGCACGGACATGTTGGCCCCGAACAACATGACCTCCACACCATCACTTCTTACTGCAGCCAGCAGCGCTACTTCTTCTTCTTCTTCTGTTTTGGTTGCGTGAACAGCTCTGGTGTCAGCCTCATGCACACTACCGCCACCGGGTGGTAGGAACGAGGAGCTGCAGCAGAGACGAATCCAACAGCTGGAGGAAGGTCTACTATTCTTTTTATATACAGTCTGTGATACTATTGCGTGTTTTTTGTTTGATGATTAAAAAAAAAAACGCCTAATAATCATTTTTTTTGTGTACCTAAGCTTTATATGTACACAACCGGTCAACAGCGCCATTTCAAGTAGTTCAAGTCTAGTGAAAAACTTAAAATGTTACAAAAGTAAGCAGAAAACTGCCAAATTTATAAACGTTTATGCACAAAAACAGAGAGATAAAAATAACAATGAAATTAAGGAGTTTTTATTATTATTATTTCACTGTAGGATCAATGAATGAACAGCTGGTCTGTTTACCTTCATTAATTGCCTTTTCAGTTGCGTTGTTGTACGAACAGAGCTTCTGATGGTGTGTGTTTTTGCTTCAACTTTTAAGGCTCCATCTACTTCCACTGCTGCAGAAAAACCAAAGAAGGAAAAGGCAAAGTTTAGGTCAGCAAAACTGAGAAATAATGTACATTTCAGAGATATACAATTTTCAGGGACAAAGTTTTAAGGAACAGCCTGCGTTAAAACACCCTCAGAAGCTTTATTTGGACAACATTGCAACTAAAAAGGTAATTGATGAAGAAAGACAGACCAGTGGGTCATCAGTTCATCCCTCAGTGAAATAATAATAATAAAAACTTCTTAATCTCATTGTTAATTTTAAATCTGAAAATGTCTCCATTGAGTGACGTAAACAAAGGCGTGTTTTAAATTGTTTTGTTCATTATTTCACTGTAGGATAAACCAATGACAAACTGGTCTGTCTTCCTTCATTAATATTATATAGAAAACTTGATATAGATAACTTGAAGTAGTTAACTCATTACTTGATCCCTAAAAATTGTATATCTCTGAAATTCACATTATTTCTCAGTTTTGATGACCTAAACTTTGTCTTTACCTTCTTTGGTTATTCTGCAGCAGTGGAAGTAAATGAAGCCTTGAAATTTGATGCAAAAACAAATTTCTACAGCTGTCCTGACGTGTACACATTTTGGAACAGCATGTGTTAAAACACCCTCAGAAGAATTATTTGGACATTATAGCATCTAAAAAGGTAATTAATAGAGGAAGACAGACCAGTTGGTCATCAGTTGATCCTACAGTGAAATAATGAACACATCTCCTTAATTTAATTATTAGTTTTATATCTGAAAATGTCTCGAAGGAGCTGTAGTTATGCTGACCACTCCTCCTCAGCCCCAATAAATAAATAAATACACAAATAGCATTCTGTTTACAATATTTGGGAAACGCTTTATTGATAAATACTTTAAAATGTGTTACCAGTGAGCAAGTTACATCAGGAGACTGGACCAACAGGTAGTACAGAGTGAGTATCTTATCCAACGGACAATAAGGAAAGCAAAGCAAAGATTACAGAGCCAGATACTTTATTTAGTTGTGTAAGTACTGTCAGAAACATGTTACTGTAACTAAGCCAAATATAGTTTATAATTCACAATCTTATAAACAAAAGAGACCAGAAATAAATTCAAGGTTTATTTATGCAAGTACACCGAGAGGCTCATGACAATAAAATAATTCTCTATTTGTTGCACAAATGCTGCACAATAGAGGTCACAGCCAACCGTCACGTAACTCTTCGACACTGTAGGTTGTGATACACCATGCTTGTAAAAAGCAAGACAAACCGAAAAAAAAAAAAAAAGACAAAATCTCACAAGGTTCTGATACAAGCTGCAGAGGAGAGAAAAGTAAAACTCAAAACCATATAAGTCAACCACAAGAACCATGAGTGAATGAACGGGCCTGATCATCAACACATTCAGAGAATGAAGTATTAAGACAAACTGGCGTAAAGAGCTGATTTACAATAATGAGGTTTATCCATGACTCCTGCAAAGTGCATTCAAATGGTAGCAATAATAACAACTGCAGTGAAGCATGGGAACAATATTAATAGTTAAAGAAGCTTTTGTCTGTGCTGCTTTTAGGTAAAGAGCAAGAAAACATACATTTCCTTCCTAACAGCTGGCCAAGTCAACAGATAATATTATTTGTATTTGCACAAGAAATGGATGTGCATAAAGAGAAGGGCCCCAAAAGAGGGCGGGGCGAGCTTTTTGTTTTGTGTTTACAGCCCACACTTTTACTGTTTTGGTTCAGCCTCATTATTCTCATCAACCTGATTTAACGTAGCAGCGGGCAGCCGTGATAATCCCACCGTACACGACCTGCTCAGCAATAAAAAGCAGACAGACGCGGTTAGCGACTAGCTGGTGAACACGGTGACGCATTCAGCAGCTAAAGAGACGGATATTTTTTCTCATGGGGGTGGTGGAGACCAAAAACAGAGCTGAAAGAGAGGGAATATTGAACTTACATTCATCAGAAGCAGGAAAAAAAAAGGATGCTAATGTTGTTTGCAGGATGTGTTCCTAGGCAACTGTGTGCTAACATGTTAGCCATAACAACTTCATAAGGTGATAAAATACCAATGTTGAGTTTACAGCTTGTCCTGCAGCCCACAGGAAATAGCTTAATGCAGCTACATACACTGAAGATGACTGTTGATGACCCGTGATGCAGGCATGTTTTCCAGAACCCCTCTAATTCTTAATAACTCAAGGAGGTGACACTTATTTTCCAGGGTTCACTTATTTTCTGAAAATGACTCTTTTAAACATGTGAAGCAGTGAAGCAGTTTGGAATGGGGTGAGTTTTTGTGACAGCATCTTCCTAACAAGAACTTTGTGAGAGGTCACCACATTGTGGTCACAACATTAAACCCGTAGAGAAACAGAGGAACAGTCTGACCTTTGGGACGGAGCCTTGTCTGCAGTCTTACCCGGAGTCAGTGTAATTTCTGTGCGTCGAATACAGAGATATGCCGTGGATGTGGTTAGTCGTAGAAGGAAACTAGCCAGCTTTGTCAAAAGTAAACAAAACAAAACAAAAAGAACACTGACTCTGGGTTTCATGGATCACAAGCCTGCTTTCCCAACATTTCAGACTGTTCCTTTAACACATTTTTGTCACATACCGTCAATATTGCCCTTGTCCAGCACCCACGCAAAGTGTCTCAGAGTAACACAAACTGGTTGTAATCAGATCAGAAATAATCTCAACACAGAGGCAGAAGAGCTGATCGTTCCCATGTACACATGATGCGTTAGCAGAGGCCGACTGACGGAGCTACATCGTGAAGTGTCTTGTGTAGTCGTATTCTATTGTGGGAATGACGGCCTGGACAAACTTGAGAAAAATCAGAAGATACCTGAAAGTCCAAGTTAAGGAAAACACGGAGGAGTATGGAGGGAAATTACATGGGCGTTTATCTGGTGAGGACCGTCTCAAACATTCAGCTACTCCAGGATTGTCTCTTTATTATCTGAAATTCAAACTACTGTCTGAATAATACAAAAAAAAATAAATAAACATTCAATCTGTAATGATTTGTCAGAATTTAAAAGTCAGAGTAGAAATGCAACAAACATGGCTTGTCCTTAGTGGACAGTGTTGGTAAATTCACTCTGATCAGTCACTCTGTGAACCGACTCTTGTTGTCACCATGGAGGAAACTAGCAAGGTGTTTACTATAATGTCCTGTAAAGTCTAATAATTTACATAATTTGTGATTTAGGATTAGGCTTGTGTTTACAACTTGATTTTGATAGAGGGGAGTGCTGCGGGAATGAGTCTTGAAATCCTGGAAATGAGTTGTTGCACTTCGGTTCCCTCGTCTCAAAGTCAGTGGGTTTTTCAAAATTTTCCTTGGTTAGATGCCCGAAGCTCAAAATCCCATTACAAGTTGGAAGCTTAGTGGTGGTGACGCAGACGTCAAGCAACCGTGGCATAGTTAGTTTAAAGCCTAACGTTACTTGCTTATTACTCCTGGCGACTGCATCAAAAGTAAAAAAAAATCATGAAGGCGGTGTTTATCGGTCAAGTATCATAAACGTTTGTTTGCCACAGAGATTATTTTCTGCAATAATCCAAAATCCAATGGAAAACTCACATAGGCTTCCAGGTTGGCCTACATCATTCCTGCAGCACTCTCCCCAGTTTCCCCTCTCGGAGCATCATGTGTGTTTAATTATGATATTTCTTATGTAAAAGAGGAAAGGTCGACACTGCAAAAACTGAGCTCTCAAACACAAGGAAAAAAAGCAATAAAATGAGGAAAATATTACTTAAAATAAGCAACATTATCTGCCAACAGAACAAGAACATTTCACTTGCTACATAAGGACAAAAAAACTTGAAACAAGTGAAACTCTCAAACATAAAAAAGAAGAAGAAAGATCTTGTCAGACAAAAAACAGGTATATTCTGCCTTCAATTAAGATAATTAATCTTACTTAGGTTTTAGTTTTTGCAGTGTACCAACTATCTCATACCTTTTGCACCTTAAATACATATTATTAAATGTCTTTTTTTTTTTTCTTTTTTTTTTTTTTTTTAGAGGTGCCAGTGGTGGTTCAGTGGTCCCTTTAGTAAATAAGGACACAATTTGGCTGTTGAGCGACTAAGGCAAGTCCTCAGTAAAGAATAATCAACTACAATTGTTGCATAAGCAGACGTGTACCAGGTTATTACCATGAAAGGATACATATGCACTCCAAGCTCTCCTCCGCCTTCCGCCACAGTCTCAATTATCTTCTTCATCACCTCAGCATGTCTGAAAGGAAAGGTTAGAGCAGCCGAAGCTTTTTATCAGTGTCTGTGAAAAAGACTAGAACAACAGTCGCGCTACCAAACACCTAAGTTGTTATTTGTGATATTGGTGCTTCATTCATTAGTGAGCCTGCCACCAAGGGATTAGTCTCCATGATCAGGCAAACAATAAACCATTGCGCCAGCTTGTCTGCTCGGTAGCAGCGGAAGCTAACATCGTTTAAAGCTCACAGACGATGGCTGCA